TTACAAATTTCAGCTGCGACAGTCAATGGTAAACACCAAAAAGTGACGAAGCCAAAGCACAAACGAATTGTAACACGACCTATGACAGCAAGACAGTGGCGCTAGCCCACCTACAGCTACATGCCCGCATGATGCATAATATCTGCATACTCCGTTAGATATGCTCAGTTGCCCGATCTTATACACAACCTCTGAAAAGAGTTCCGATCTTTACCGGATAATCGTCAGTATGACGTTCAGCCATGGTGCTGCTGCGGCTGCGGGATCGTGTGGCTCCAGTCCCCCCCCCCCCCGCAGCGGAGAGTTCATTCCGCCGTGGCCCCGCCTCCGGCGCAGATAAGGTGTTTCCGCCACAGTCGGGTGTGGAGAAGTGGGCTGCAGACGTCACATAAATCGCATCTCTAGGCCTTCCTCGCGCGAATTTATCCGCAGGGGTCACGCGAGATTTTGGCGCGAGCAGAGCCCCGGTCCGAAGCGGGAGACAACGGGATCGGACGACACGCAGGCACGAACGGGGGTGAAGTGAAGCCGGGCACCGGCTATTATATTAGCAAAATTCCGGAGTTTGCATATTATATATATATATATATATATATATATATATATATATATATATATATATGCATACATATTGTTCTGGCTGAAGGAAACGTCCCCTTCTGTGGGTGTTTTGCCCAAATCCAAATCCTGACACTATTGCAAGGCGCTACCCAAATGCAGGGCGAAGATATCAAATATTGCAAGGGATCTGGCCGAATGACACCGTGGGCGTCGCACAGGACAAGTTTTTTGTTGCTTCATACGCGATGACGCGGCGCTTAACAGCAGACCTAGGTGTCCCGAGATCCGGTTCCGTTGCAGTTAACAGCCCTGTCCTTCTTAGGACCAAAATCCCTAATTTTTGAGCTGTACGCCCGCGAATATGTGCGAGCTATTTCAAGGTCAGCTATGCATCCACGACACCTTGGTGACGTCATTCATATCCTGTCATTCTGTTGACCATATGGCGATCAAGACCAAACAAAATATGATTGTCTAGTCGCTCACATCTGGCATTTCTGAGCACGCTTTCCAGCTAAAACGGTCGTCAATTGGTCCTCGATCATTTTTGTGCATGGTTTGATGACGCAATCCAACACCGACGTATCGAGGAGCATAATGACTAAATATAGAAATTATGTTATCTAGAGCAGCCGTTTACACTTAAAAGTATATTAATAGGTATAAGTGAGCTCAATTCACCATATCTGGCGCTCGCTTCAATATCTTCAAAAATAAAACATCCTCTTCATTTGCAAAAATACCCCAATACTTCTTGACATTCCACTGAATAATGGTATTTACGAATTGTATCCAAAGTAATTCAGTCACGGCGGTAAGGGGTAAGTCGCAAAATCGCCGGTTAAAATTTCGCCTGTCAATATTCATATCCGTTTTAGATGAGGATGTAGAGTGAGGCGTTGTTTTACAATGCGTATGGGATACCTGATCCTGATCGATGAGATTGGACTGCGACACCTACTCCCATGGCGCCACATGTCACACAATGGTTCTGTCGGCACCTGCCACCTACCGGGACAGGGTGGAATCTCGGGTCGGCTGCCGACCTCACGCGCGATTGGTGCCTGAATCCCCATTCCGTCGCGGCCCAGTCGATTCCAACTCCGACTCACGACTAGTTGGGATGGTTCCGACCCTGAGTCAAAGAATCACATCACATTCAGGTGACTTCGATCCGACTTAGACATGCGAAACCAATTTCGGAGTTCAATCTGATCGGGTCGATTCCTGATAGAACTTGAAAGATAATGCGTTATATACAGTACATAAGCTGATACGGTTTGATACCATTTTGCTAATAATGCGGCAGCGCAAATATAATTCCATTCAGTGCGTCACATAACGCCAGAATAGTGATGACCGGTGTTCATCTGTGACTGCATTCGTCGCGATCGACTAAGTCCAACACCGGCTCATACCAGCTTGTCAGACGCAGATTCGGCCTTGATTGAACGAAAATGGCATTGTTGCCAGGGGTGACTCCAACTCCACCCGGCATCGAGCGCAAGTCTTCTTCACAAAGTTTCATTCCAAGGTGTGTGAGCTGTGGGTACTTTTAACGAGCTGTGGCCTGTCCAGCACGCATGACACGTGCAGTACGTGTCAGGACTGGAGGTGGACTCATTCGCCCTCCATTTACCTCGGGTAAACGATGATGTTGACGATAAACGTGATGAAAAAGTTATACAGCAAGTAAAGGCTTACAGCACTAAGGAAGTGCGGCAAAACCACTTCGCCGAATAGTGCTTCGTGTGCGTTTATCCTGGTAGTCTTTACTACCTTCCTTCTGGACGAAGGCGCCAGGGCCTTCGTCATTCGTCATTGTCACGTGTCAGGACTGGAGGTGGACTCATTCACCCTCCATTTACCTCGGGTAAACGATTATGTTGACGATATACGTGATGAAAAAGCTATACAGTAAGTAAAGCCTTACAACACTAAGAAAGTGCGGCAAAACCACTTGGCCGAATCGTGTTTCGTGTGCATTTATCCTGGTAGTCTTTACTACCTTCCTTCTGGACGAAGGCGTCAGGGCCTTCGTCATTCACATCCATCGGCGGCGTGGGTGTGAATTACGGTCGGGGGCCGGCCGGCTCTCTGGGACAATCCAAGGAGTTCACCAGGAGCAGTCCGTGACATGGCTGCCAGGGCCACGGCCGCTGGATCATACAATAGGCCAAAGTACGTCTTCTCAGACCGTTCCCTTCAGGTACAGTAGTCCGAAAGGATGTGACTAAACGTTCTACCCGACCCCGTGGATTGGAGTCTGACGCTGTCTTGAGCTGCGAGCATGACTCGACCGTCTATCCGAACGACAGATCCGCATCGGGGCAGGCAGGCTGGCGCGACCCAGAGCTGCGCAACCACGATCCCTTCCTCATAAAACATGCCAGAAACGCAGCTTTATTTTCCATAACCAGCAACAAAATGTCTGCCACAGGACCAGACGCATTAGCAGGCCACGTTGCATCAGACCACGTGCGCGACACTGTGGACGGTATAGCAGTGGCAGCTGACACTGTGGACGGTATAGCAGGCACAGCTGGCACTGTGGGCGGTATAGCAGGCACAGCTGACACTGTGGACGGTATAGCAGTGGCAGCTGACACTGTGGACGGTATAGCAGTGGCAGCTGACACTGTGGACGGTATAGCAGTGGCAGCTGACACTGTGGACGGTATAGCAGGCACAGCTGGCACTGTGGGCGGTATAGCACGCACAGCTGGCACTGTGGGCGGTATAGCAGGCACAGCTGACACTGTGGACGGTATAGCAGTGGCAGCTGACACTGTGGACGGTATAGCAGTGGCAGCTGACACTGTGGACGGTATAGCAGGCACAGCTGGCACTGTGGACGATACAGCAGGAGCAGCTGGCACTGTGGACGGTACAGCAGGAGCAGCTGGCACCGCGGACGGTACAGCAGGAGCAGCTGGCACTGTGGACGGTACAGCAGGAGCAGCTGGCACTGTGGACGGTACAGCAGGAGCAGCTGGCGCTGTGAACGGTACAGCAGGAGCAGCTGGCACTGTGGACGGTACAGCAGGAACAGCTGGCACTGTGGACGACTGAGGTCGGCGGCAGACACCAAAGATGAGCGGACGGATTCATCAGCCAGCGGAGATTGAGTGTCACAAACGGCTTCAGATGGAGACACGACACTCTGAGTACCGGCCTGCAGAAGAACATACCGTGGAAATCGAATCTACTCATAGGCAGTCACTGCTTACTTACTGTGAATATGCTACAGCGAAGATGATGGCGGCAGGCGCAGCTGACACGAGGGCCACATGACGACAGCACACGACTACAGATAAACATCACGTCTCACTTCACAGAAAGCGACTGAATTAACGACAAACGAATACACCAAACCTGAAAGCGTTTCACTAGTTTCATCAAAATAGAGTCGCGAATGGTTCCTTATAGCTCAAAATAGAGGAGCCGCGAATGGCTCTTTGATGATCCGGGAACAAGACGTAATTCCAATTTGAAACATTTACAAGCAGACATATTTGGAACCATGGCACACATTCGGACAGCCGCAGACAAGCGGAATGAACTAAATTCCGGTACGAAACTATTCGCTTCCACACAGTATGGATATCACTGCGATTGTATGTGACTATGTCGTGACTAGAGCGTTCATCGATGTGACCGAAAACAAGATGGCCTGATATCTGAATGTCACTTGAGATCACCGCGTCACTTAACGCACGAAGACATTGAACTTGTGTGCATAACACGCGCGAAAATAATGCACCTTGTGCCCTGGTGGCGGAGATTGTGACCTACCTTCGCTACGTATGACTAACGTGTAAGGCGAGCGATCACCGAGAAGCATGAGGTTTGATAGGCACTTTTAAAGCAAACGTCATCCAAACTCATGCACAAACTGGTCTTCCACTGATCGCATCCAAGCTGATGGTACGGCGCACGACGCTCACTCCCATTTCGAGCCCCCGTTTCGAATTGATCTGACCTTTTCGAGATCGCCGTTGCGAGTTGCGAGTTTTAAAAACTCGCAACCTGGTCCCCACATATCCCACTTCCCGCTGTGCTGAGAACAAAGCGCAATAGTCCGAAATTCCTCTCAGACCCACTCTTGGCTTCTCACTGCCCACACCCCCTCCCCCGTACCCTAGAGAGCCCGTTCCCTCACTCCTCGGCGAGCACCGTCACCTCTCGCGGCGGCGCGTCCTTCCGCCGTCTCGGCCCGGCACGACCCCCCGCCCGCTGCTTCCTTCCGTCGGTCCCGGCCACCTTCTTCACCGCGCCACCAGCCGGCCGGTCTTCTCCCGCGTCCCCGGCCGCCGCCTGCTTCGCCCCGCCCCCCACCGACCGGTCCAGGTGCTCACGGGCGCGCAGCATGCGCAGCCGCGCGCGCCGGAACGCCTCGAGCACGGCGCCGACGCCGACTGGCCCGGCGGCTGGTTCCGCCGTCCGACCGTCGCCGCCCAACACCAGGCTCTGGCTCTGGTGCAGTGCGCACAGACGCACCACCACCTCGCCCGTCGTCTCCGTGCGAAAGCCGTAGCGGCTCAGGCGGTCACCCTGCGCCAGGGGAAGGGGGAGGTCAGAAGGGACGGAACGCGACAGCATCAGGATCAGCACTGCAGCAGGTGGGCCAATAGCTGTGAAGCGTGCCGAGGCGAACGGCTGGGAGCATCTGAACCGGAAAATGTAAAATGACGGCGGGTTTTGAGCATCTAAATATCCACGCATGACGGCTGCGCGGCCCTACGCCATCACCACACCTGAAAGCCCGGCCGGCACGGCCACGAACGAGGGGTCCTCCAGTTCGGGCGAGCCGCCGATGAAGAAGCGGCGCAGCTGGGCCGTGCGGTCGCCGGTGGGCCGCCAGGCGGCCAGACGTCGCTCCAGCGCGCCGGCCGTCGGCGGCACGCTCAGGTGGCAGTAGCCCTCGGTGCGGCACACGCCCAGCATGTCCTCTGATAACACCTCCACGTACAGCGTCGGCCAGCGGTGCCAGCCGTCTGCGGGACCAGCGGCGAGCGGCGTCAGCAGGCGTCAGCACCTACATCCGTCGGTCAATTTCTGCTGGGAAGCTTCCAGACACGTCACGCATTTTAGGAATGCCGCACCTTGTGCTAATGCCACGTTCAACTTGCTGTTTTACGTGACATTAGCAGAAGGTGTGAATGTTCTCACGATAAGAAGTGACAGCACGCGTCTTCTCAAGAGAGCCGTGCGTGGCCATCACCATCAGCTGGCGGTCAGCAGCACATCACCAGCCCACACCTTCTCCGGGTGCGCGGCACCGGCTCACCCGCCTGCTCCTCGTCCGGCGCGCCCAGCATCAGCTCGGCGTTGATGGGGAAGCCGAAGTGGCAGTCGCCGGCGGCTGACGCCCGACACAGCTGCGTGACGCCCCCGAGCCGAGTGTCGGCGCTGGCCCGCCACCCTGCACACACAGCACAGCGTGTCCGTACAACCTTGCACACACAGCACAGTGTGCATGTACAACCCTGCACACACAGCACAGCAAGTCCGTACAACCCTGCACACACAGCACGGTGCGTCCATACAGCCCTACACATACAGCACAGCGTGCATGTACAGCCCTGTACATACAGCACGGCGCGTCCATACAATCCTACGCACACAGCACAGCGTGCCCGTGCAACCCTGCACACAGCACAGCGTGTCCGTACAACCCTGCACACACAGTAGTGTGCATGCACAGCCTTGTACACACAGCACGGCGTGTCCGTACAACCCTGCACACAAAGCAGTGTGCATGTACAGCCCGTGCACACATTACGGTGTGTCCGTACAACCCTGCACACACAGCACAGTGTGCATGTACAGCCCGTGCATGCATCACAGTGTGTCCGTACAACCCTGCACACGCAGAACAGTGTGCATGTACCGCTTCGTACCTACAGCACGGCGCGTCCATACAACCCTGTACATACATCACGGTGTGTCCGTACAACCCTGCACACACAGCACAGTGTGCATGTACAGCCCTGTACACACAGGGCTGCGCGTCCGTATAATCCTACGCACACAGCACAGCGTGCCCATACAACCCTGCGCACACAGCACGGCAAGTCCGTACAACCCTGCACACACAGCACGGCGCGTCCATACAACCCTGTGCACACAGCACGGTGTGCATGTACAGCCCTGTACATACAGCACGGCGCGTCCATACAATCCAACGCAGAGAGCGCAGCGTGCCTGTGCAACCCTGCACATAGCACAGCGTGTCCGTACACGCGGACACGCTGTGGTGCGACAAGCAGGCGCTGGAGGTGGACGAAACGCCGACCCGGCGGTGTGCGGTCCGGCTTGAGTCCCGTTATTCAGACACTTAAATTCGTCCCCAACAAGCGTTACGGTGGTGCGGACGACGCACATTCGGAGACTCCACACAATCATCCACGGACAGAACGCCACCCTTCGCAGTACACCGTCGGCTATCATATGGTTAATTTGGAAATGCGTCTGCCAAAATGTTATAGCGCGCCCACAGTGAGCGCTGGATGGTTTAGTAGAAATATCGCCCAGTCTTATAATACACGTCAGACGAAACTTATGGACCTGCCGGTCGTACGTCAGGGTCGCCTGGTCCATCGGACGGCTGGCCAGCTGCCACCCGTCGCCGCCTCACCCCTGGGCAGCTCCATGAAGTAGTGGATGAAGAGGTTATCGCGCTCAAAGCCGCGGGCCGACACCAGCTCGCCGGAGAGCGCCACCAGCAGGGTGCCGGCCGGCGGCAGCGGCAGGTCTCCGGCCGGGCCGGGCCGCGCCACCGGCCGCCCGACCGGCGCCGGCGCTGGCTGCGGGGACAACGAACGGCCGGCTGTCAGGGAATGTCCAGCGAGGCTGCAGAAAACACCGACCGACAGCCAGGCACTGGAGCTCGGCGCGAGACGGGCTGCGTCTGGATGGTAAGTCTAACCACTGGCTCCAGCCCCAGGGTACGCACTGAGCGTTGATGCTCGTAACGTCACTCCGGCTGCTGATCTGGTGTGGCAAGCTCGCTTGAGCTGGATGAGCTGGATGAGCTGGATTGAGCTCACCGGGTCGCGGCAGCATGATGAGCTCCATCGGCACTGCACCGAGCGTAGCGGGTGGGCTGAGACAGCAGAGGCAGGGGCCCTTCAGATGTGTTACGACGTGCCGCTAGCTGCCATTCGGCGCCGGGCAAAGGTGCAGAATCGCGACACTAACCTGGGGCCGTGGGCCGGATGGCGCCTGCCGCCCATCTTCGGTCGGGCGGCACCACTCCAGCCAGTAGGCGTACAGCCCCTTCTGGCCCTCTCCCACCTGATACCTGCGTAGAAAAGCGGGGATCAGACGAGGTGGGGCACGAACGAGGGAAGCCATGCGAGGTCAGGCGAGGGGAGACCGAATCAGCTCGGGGGGGGGGGGGGGGGTTGCGTTTTTCTCCCGAGAGCCCTGGCTACGCCGTAATCTTCTGAGCGTTGTTGCCTATTCGAACGCCTCCTAAGACTCAGCTATCTCCCGAAATTGTCGTCACCTGTTCTGCTATCTGCTGGGACAGCCGCTGCCTGTACAGCTTTCGCTCGTTGGTTCGGCTCTTTCAAAACTGTCCTGTTACCTCTTCGGTCGTCTCCAGCGTATGTCGTTTTATGTTCGGCCGTCTCCAGCGACTGTCGTTACCTATTGGTCGTCCCAGCGACTGTCGCAAACTGTTCGGCCGTCTCCAGCGACTGTCGTTACCTGTTCGGCCGTCCCAGCGACCGTCATTACCTAATCGGTCGTCCGAGCGACTGTTGTAAAATGTTCGGCAGTCTCCAGCGACCGTCGTTACCTGTACGGTCGTCCCAGTGACTGTCGTTACCTATTCGGCCGTCCACGCCACTGTCGTAAGCTGTTCGGCTGTCCCAGCGACTGTCGTTACCTGTACGGCTGCGCGCCGCGGCTGAAGTCGGGTCGCACCGTCAGCTGGCCGGACGGATTCCAGTCCAGGCGACAGAGTACGTGTTCGGTCTCCCTGCCGACCCAACACACCGCACAGCGTCAGCCACCGCCGCAAGCGCAACCAGCGGTCACAGTCGCCGAAGCCGGCCCACGCTGCGCCGCTGAATAGCTGCAACGGTGCTTTCCGACTTCCCATCCGACATCACTCATTGGACGACCTATAAGCAAGCGACAGCTCTCACAATTCGCTGTTAGATGACGAATGGGACAGGTTTAACTATGAGCGTCGCGATCTCTTGCAGCAACTGAAGTGAGGAGATCAGATCCGACAATGGGTCCCCGTCCGTTCAGTCCCCGTGCGACGCCTCGCTGTGGGCCGCAGGCGTCCGGCGACTCCCCTGCGTCGCAAGCGTGAGACTCACTGAGCGTACAACATGATGAACATGGACTCGAGGTCGGTGAGAGCCAGACGGCGCAGCCGCTGCTCCACAGACGTGCCCTCCTGGTGTTCCTCCTCGGCCGGCTCCTCACTGCGGAGATGGTGCCATCGGTCACGAACGGTCATCGGGGCGAGATGGGCCGCGAACGGCGGCCGACCCTCGCGTGCCGAGGTATATCTGGGGTCTCTAAGAGCCAAGAGTCGACCGTCCATCATGATCTTATCATGACCCAACCATGAGTCAGCCATGCGCGTTAACATACTCGCCACCTGCCGAGGGCAGCTTTCAGTCAGCGTTGCGCGAGGCTTGATGACAAGACATTTTTAGTTTCTTTCCCGAGCAAAACCCAATCCAAAACACGCACCGAATGAAGGACGACAGCGCGCTCGTGGCCAACATTAGTCTCCAGCAGACTTCCAGCAGTGCACTGCTGGCCTCGCCGCCGACCACATATATCTCACAGTCGTCGTTCAGCAGGAGCGTTCTCTGCATCGGCAAAGCAGCCTGCCAGACGATCGGTTCGCTGACGAGGGGACGCCCGACGTCGGCGAGCGCTCACCCGAGAGGTGCCGAGCCGCGGTACCGCAGCGACATGATAGTAGCGGCCATCTTGGAGGGGCGCGGCGCCGGGCTCAGCAGCTCCCGGGACTGCTGCGGGCAAGCCGCAGGAGCACACGTCACAGAGGCGTGGCAGCAGGGCGACGGCGGGACGTCTCAGCTGGCGACATCAGCGCGACACGCAGCGGCTGGCAACGTCCGCAACTGGGCCCAGCTCTATCATCTCACGCTCGTCGTTAGATGAACTGAACCCGCTGGAAACATAACCTACATAGTGCACAGGGAACATACCACCATCAAGATTGTCGTGAGATGCACAAATCAACACGAGCAGAGGTAAACATGGCGTACTTCATGCAGGGCTTGAGCGAAAAAAGGACAAAATAGAAATCGTCAAGTGAGTTCTCTCCCCCCCCCCCTTCGAGCCAACTCCACCCTTGCCGGACCCCTCACCCCTCTAAGGCACGTGCGCAGACCTATGGCCCCCACCGGCGGACGGACCAGTAACGAGCCCATTATGTCATTACCGGTCAGCGCGGCCGTCGGCCACAGCTGTGACCAGCACACAGCGACGACACCGCGGTAATCACGGCCGCGCGACGTGGCCACACGCGGCGCGCCACGTCGGCCGCCGACAGGCGAAAACGGCGCGCCGCTGCCGCGGACGGCCAGGGCGCGCTGGGGGTCGGCCCAGTCTGAATCGGACAGCACGGCACGGCACATACGGACGGCGGCATGAGGTGGCTCTGGCTCGGGATGTGCGCGGCGTTGCTGCTGGCGGCGGCGGCGCGCGCGGAGACGGCGCAGGAGGACGGCCCGGAGGTGAAGCAGGCCCGCGAGGACGGGCAGGTGGAGGTGGAGGTGGAGGTGGAGGAGACTGAAGACGCCGGCGACGAGCCAGAGCACGCCGCGTGGAAGTACGACAAGAACGGCATCCTCATCCTGAACCGCGGCAACTTCGACCGCGCCATCGACGAGCATGACCACCTCTTCGTCGTGTTCCACACACCGGCCTGCAGTCAGTGCATCAAACTCCACCCGCACTTTGTGGAGGCGTGGAAAGCGCTGCGAGAGCAGACGACCGACGTGCAGTTCGCCAAGATCGACTGCACCAACGAGACAGCGCTGCTCATCCACTACGGCATCACGCAGTTCCCCACGCTGACCTTCTTCAAGGACCAGAAGGAGAAGATGTACGACGGCGGGTACCGCTCGACGGACATCGAGTCAGTGGGTCACCAAGCGGATGGGTGCACCGGCGCAGCCGGTCGAGTCAGCGGAGCAACTGGAGGCGGCGCGCGCCGAGCACGACGTGCTGGCGGTCGGCTTCTTCCGCGACCCGGACTCCGTGTCGGCTATCATCTACCTCCGCGTCGCCGACGCCGTGCACGACTACCCGTTCTTCCTGGTGGCCGACCCCGAGCTCTTCAAGCAGTACGAGGTCGAGGACGACGCCGTGGTGGTCTTCAAGCAGTTCGACGAGGGGCGCGCCGACTTCCCGGCGGCTGACTACGTGGCGGACGACCTGATGAACTTCCTGCGCCTGGAGACGTTCCCGCTGGTCTCTGAGCTGAACATTGACAACGTATGGCGCGTGACTGAGGAGGCCAACTTCATCAAAACCCACTTCCTGGTGTTCCGGAACGCGTCCGATCCTCGCACCCCGAGCGACATCGAAGGTCTCGTCCTCCCCGTCGCGCAGAAGCACAAGGGCAGCGTCCTCTTCCTGCTGGTGGACATGGCCGACCGCAGGATGTTCCACATGGAGGAGTTCTTCGGCGTGCAACGCGACCGCACGCCAGCGATGAGGATCTTCCGCTACGAGGGGCCCACATTCAAATTCAGGCCCCAACACGACGGCACCATATCGACGGAGCAGGTTCTCCAGTTCTGCGACGACTTCCTGACCGGGAAGCTGAAAGCGTTCCAGCTACAGCAGCCGCTGCCGGAGGACTGGGACGCGGCGCCCGTTAAGGTGCTGACCGCCCAGAACTACGCCGACGTCACGCTTGACCCGACCCACCACGTGTTCGTCATGCTGCACGCGCCCTGGTGTCCGCACTGCCAGCTCGTGGGCCCAATCTTCGATCAGCTGGCTGAGCTCTACCTGCCGCACAGTGACGTCATCACGCTGGCCCGGATGGACGCCACGGCCAACGAGGTGGAGGGGCTGGAGTTCCAGAGTTTCCCCACGTTCTTCCTGTACGCGGTGGACGGCCAGCGTCATCAGTTCAACGGGTCACGCACGCTCGAGGACTTCGTCGAGTTCCTGAACGAGTACACGACCGTCAACCTGGACTTCGGCTCGGCGGACGGCGAAACGCACGCGGACAAAACCTGCGGGGAAAGCGAGGCCGACGGTGGCGACATCTGCACGGCAGACGTGGGAGGCGGCGGTGACACCGGCGCCGCCGCGGAGGACGGCTCAGCGGGCGACAAAGCGGACGCTGACGCCGAAGACGCTTCCGCCGGAGACACGCGCGGCAGTGACGAGGCGGGCGCGCCTTTGCAATCGCAGACCAAGGATGAACTTTAAGGCTTGATGCCCCCATTCACACATGGTATGGTCAGTTTTGCTGACTGCTGACACAATACGTTGCTGAAAATTCGAAATACATGCTGTATTTATGCTATCATCAGCACTTAGTTTTGAGTTAGAGCTAAGATCAAGAACTTATGCAGGCTTCCTATGACCTCTTAGTTAACATATGTTCAGTGAACCCAAGTAGATCTGGCACAATTTACAAACCTCATACTCTGTGGCAAATTCTTCATCCTGCACATGTGTGAATACAGATGATGGTGGCTGGCCTGCAGCCATCAGGTGGGTGGCATCTTCCTTGAATCTCTTTTGCACCTCAGTTTCTGGTGTTTCCAGTGCACTGTATGACTGAAGCTCTGCTTGACTGGAATCACAGTACAGAGTTATAAACTTACTGGCACATATTACTGATATGATGCAATTCACAATGTCTTTACACTATTTGGGAAGGCACGGTTTATCTGTGCACATCGAGTTTAGGAAAAAACATCATCCAACATGGCTAAAAACTTTACGTCCTTGGTCACAGTGGGTGTCACATGTAAATGCTGGAGGACACCAACCTGAATAACTTCTGCTGCCATTTCACAATGATTTCTTCTGTCTGCTGGTTTGCTGACCCCCTGCTGCTTACTGACACCCTGCAAACAAAGCCAAATGAATATCACAGCTCCTATGGGATGCATCTACAGGGCAGCCGTGAATATACATCATGCATGCCTTTGAAGGACAAGGGGCACAGACATAGGCATATGTATGCATTGTAATATTGATCATGCATGGATGTACGCACTAAGTATCATTAAAGTGGTCATTCAGAACTTTGCCTGCATTGGTCAATAATAAAAATACCTGGGACCATCACACCCATCTTTCAACTTTATGGTCAAGCCTGTTATGCATAGTCATACCAACAATTCTGACCAGTACCATGAAACTGTACAATCAACTTACTTGATATTCAGGCTGGTAGCGGGGTCATTACATCGGTATGTTCCCACAGTCTCATCTTCAAAGTCATCATCAAGGTCCATTTACAGCTTGTTAGATTTATCATAAATCATAAACCTAAAAAGGAAAAAGCTTTTTACCCCACAAGCACAAATCATATCAGCCTAAAATACCACCATCTTTGGACATTGGGGGAGGCCATATAACCAGCTCTAAAAATGCAGGGATGCAGCTGGTGCTGCCAGAGATGTATTCACATAGTGGCCTCTGGGACAAAAGCTCATGTCATTAAGTTGACTGCACGCAGTAATGGCGCCAGTGTCGCGGCTGCTGTGGGCGTGCGGCACTTGGGAGCTCGCCATCGTAATTATAAAAAATTTGAAGGTAAGAGCATGAATCTGCCTGTTTTGTGATTATTTACGATATGTCCTACCTTAAACACGACAAATGGTGTACAATGATTTTTTCCAATGTTAGGTAGGAAAGTACACCCTGACCTGATTTATCACAGATATCGACTGAAATTTTTGCCACGATGTCGGTGCTACGTGGGACATGTAGGACGTTACGTGCAGTTTTTGCACTCTGGCCTGCGGCGTGCGAAACCTCCTTCTGGTTAAAAAATTGTTGTGCCCTCTCTCCATAAATTTCCACACACGCACTACAGTATTGCCATCACACCCGGCATCCAGAGTTTCCTGCTGTTGCCAAATTTTTTTAAAGCCGCCATTACCTTACATACATACAAGATTATATCAGGTCACGTCCTTTCCGGTCCGTGACTCGTTTCACGCCAGCGCCCAGCGCGGAATCCCGAAATTTGTCATAGTAAACACGGAAAAAACGTGTTTGCGGCGCCTTTGTGACAAAATATAACTGGCCCATCCCTGTTAAAATACGGCATACATTTGTATGCGTTATATATTCTATTTATGTATACTTTCAATGCAGAAGAGTGGAAGAAAAAAGTCATGTCATAGAAGATAAATTTTAATCTTATTGCCTCGATGCTGAAATTAATTAAACAGTTGCACCGCATCCTTTCAACGGGTTTATCAATGGAACGCTTTGGGCAGCAGATCAGGCTTGCTGGCCAGGCCAGGGTCGCCGCCGTCGCCCGTGCCGCCTGTGAATTGGTATGTGCACATATTGCCGCGACTTGAGACAAGGCAATGCTAATATTTGTAAGCTGACTTAGTCGTCAAAATGCTTCTTCCGTATGGGTCTGAGGTCGTGATTTTCTTGCAAGTATATTGATACTTTTCAAAGCCAGTGTTGTTACCAAAGGCAGCGTTGCGCAATGGCTTAACGAGTGGGTTGGTCCTAATTCCACAATTTTTTATTCCCCGCTTTAGGCTCGTGCAGCCTGGCTGCCCTCCCGAGAGGTGAGGCGGTCACATGTGGCTCGTTTTTTTATCTGCAGGGTTGAATGCAGGATTGCGTGATGTGAGAGGGGGACTTCGGGGGCCTCTATTTTGGTGTGCATGTGTGCAAAATTTCAGTGTCAATATTCAACCCTGTATGCTTTCAATCCACTGATTCTTACAGATTCAAATATGTGTTCATGCACATCAATTTGCTATGACAGGGTATATGAACCAGGTGCTGCCCAGGTTGTGTGGAGTTGATACGCCTGCTGGTTTTCCAGTGTGCAAGAAATACATCCATTGTGTTATTGACTTATGTAACACCTGTGTACTGAATCTCACACATGTGCCAGACTCAGGCAAGTTCAGATTGCACCAAATTTTCAATTATTTTGTGGGAAATGTTTAATGGAGTATTTTGCCATATATTTTGTTTACAACTGCATCATCCATACAAATTGTCTGTGCTTCAGTTTGTGGTGACACTGACTGTCTGCAAAACTCAACTCTAAGGTGCATGTGCATTGACATTTTTGAGTGGATGTCATTTCCACTGCTATGTCAGGCATGTTAAGTGAAACATGTGTATTTTGCTATGTGGTCAGCTTCTTATTTACCTACCCAAACCCAAGTGTTGGCCATGTCTTATGCCAACAAATTTTCTTTCCAATGTTCCATTAGCTTCCATTAGGATCTTAGGCATTACAAATATCATTTTTAAGTTTTCTCTATTGGAACAAGCAAAAATTTAAAATATTTAGTAAATTTGAAGCACACTCATCCACAAATACTTGAAATACTGGCACATTTATGTCCTGTCTTGAGGCATAAAGCTGTGGGCCAGTGAACTGAAACGATTAAGACACCGCCATAGCCAGTCAGAAGGCAATTTGCCACTTTCCTGTCTCAATGATTCATTTACTGTTCTTTTCAGATTTGCTGATAGGTTGATAGAAATGAATATTTTTGTGATGAATGTTCAATTTTCATTAGCTCTTTACAAAATCTGGCAAGGAAAGGCAGAATAATCATTGTGTAATGAACCAATACATTGGTTTTGAGACTGGTCTCATGCAACAAGTGCTTGCCTGCCATTGCCTCTCTCTAGGCCTGTGTAGGGCCAAACTGCGGAATTACCCGCCATAGCACGACTAAAAAGCTCCTGGAGAAAAATATATGTCACATGAATCAGAGAGCCTAATGCAGCTTTGTATGCTTCATATCATATCCATAAAAGGCTCCTTAGACATGTCCAATGCCTGCAACATGCTTTTCAAAACTGGCATGTGTACAAATCATTCCTCCAACAGATGTTAGGCTGACATCAAGCTTAGTGGTGTCCCATATGATGTCACACATTTGGAGCTGCTACATCATAAATTTGGTTCTTGCCAGGGTGTAATGGAAAGTGATCACATATAGCTTGCAAGTCAGAGTGTTATTTTTTATAAGTCAGTTAGTGTTATATAAGTCAAAATGTTTTCTTTTATCAATTTCTGTTAGCCTGAGTGCATAATTATATGCAACATGCAGAATAGGGTGCTTTTCACTGCTAACCTATTCACAGCATGGTGTCATTTCAGCTCAAAACACTGCTCAGTGTGGAATGATGTATTGACTTAATGTGGATAATTGCCTTGATCCCTAATTTGTTCGCATCTGGAACACATGGGTATAATTCTACAGTGTGTCAGCTTTGTTAACATTCCAGTAAGATGTATTTTGTGACATGACATGATGGAGATGACACAGACATGAGTGTTATCATAAATATAAAGTAGAAACATGAGCAAATGAAGCTGGTCACATTTGGGACCTGTACAAGATGTGTTAGCATTCTATTGAAATTTCATTTTTTCATGAGTAGCAGCAAAAAAGTCTTTAGTGGTAATGGATATTTACAAATCACACTGAATGGAACTATCTACCCTTGGTGCGCACAGTTTTCATCACCCAATATGTGTGATGCCTGTTTAGGACATAGCGTGCTTTGGCTGCGACCATTTTCATGTTTTTGCTTTTTAAAGAAGCACAACACATATTGTCAAGCATCGTTTTATGGAGCACCATCGATTGCAATGGCCGTTTTAATGCTCCACGGCCGTGGCCCGACCGGGATTCGAGTCCGGCATCCGCGTGGGAGCCCAAGGCTGCCGACCACCTTCTTACTGGCCCAAAATTCACCCAAAAACGGAGTGGTCCAAGGCGTACGCGCAGAAACGCGTGGACGAATGGCTCCGGATGCGTAGATCAGCCGGACTTATTTTGGCTGGTTGTCCATTCTCGCCGCCGTCTGAATCTAGGTGTGTAGTGTCACTTCGGCGCCAGGTCGCCAAGGTCATGACCTAGTATGGGCGTACGTTGTGCAGCTATTTGGCAGTGCCAGCTGTTTCTGATGTTTTTTTTTAAACATTTGGTCCCAACCCTTTGTAAGGATGGATTTCCAGGATCAGAGCTCATGCCAAGCAGTACTTGTTGCATAAGCGCTCACCTATACCATCCTACCGCAAAATCCAGGTCAACGGTAGAATTTGGGGGCGAAAGTTCGACGTGTCGCAATGCTCGACACGGATGTTCTGTCCCCTAACGTCACCTGACCTTCAGCGCGGCTGTGTTACAGGTGTTGAAAAGGAGCTGTCAGGATGAAGCTGCACGAAAAGAATCTGATTGCTTTTGCCCAATCCCGGACGAGTATTGACAGAGAGGGGTTCCTCTATAAACGAGGAGAGGTAAATAGGTCCTTTCAAAAGCGATGGTTTGTTCTGAAGGGGAACCTTCTCTTCTACTTCGAGAAGAAAGAAGACAAGGAACCAATGGGAGTCATTATCCTGGAACACTTCAGAATTGGTGAGAATGATAGGACATACCGGATTAACGTCTGCTCTGGAGGACTTCTGAGGGTCCTTTACCATGGGAATGGTCTGCTTCCCTGCTTCCCTTTACCATGGGAAATCGCTTCCCTGTGCTCTCAGAAACTATGTGTTATACCGGAGTACGACGTGGCGCCCATGTGCGCTATTGACATGCCCGCGTCATACGCCGCTTGTCGCGCCCGAGCCGCGGCCACCGGCGCTGCGGGTTAGTGGAAGTCACGTGGCCTCGGCCTCTGGCCAATCAGTGGCGGCCCTTGGTGGAGCCGAGACGAGGCCAACCCCGGGGCGCGGACGGGGGATAACGAGGTCCTAGCTCTCGACCAACCTGCTGGGAGATAGGACCCGACCAAACATGGGAAATATGACTGAAAGTCTGTTATCAAAGAGATCATGCCCCATGCCGCTTTTGCGTATTTGATCTGCGGGCATTATGTATAAGCCACTCTTCACCCTGCCATGAATTTCCGCGCAGGTTTTTTGCCAGCACGTGGACCCATAATAGGCCGACACGTTCCGTTCCACTCCGCTAACCGGCTTTCGAACCGCTCATTCAAGCTACGTGAGGTGCTGGTTTGCAGGTTGACAAAAATGGTGTGTGCAGCGTTCCGTGTGAATGATGTGTACATGCATTTCTCCTTGTGTGATGTGTCAATACATTTCTGTCACTTGACTGCAATACGTGACATGCACTTGCTGCTAGTTGTGTGGGGAGACTTGTATTTCGCTACACTGACTGCAGTGCGTGTGTAGACACGTTGCGTGATAAGAATCGGATAATTATGAGTCAGGCCATGCGGACATTACTTTTTTGTTGGGTGTGGTTGGCAGTGGTTGGCAGAAGGTGAGAGAGAGGTGACGTGGTCGAATTTCCTGTTAATGGAAATGTGACGAGTGTGGAAATTTCCCTTCACAAAACTCGTTTTTTTAAAGTCTGCTATGTGCATGAAAGGAGTGTCCCACATGCGTATGGAGGTTGTGAAGTGAAACAGCTATGCTGAAGACATTTTGGTGCACTTCACAGCCCTGCCCTTCTTAATACCTAAACCTCTAGTTTCTGAGCTACACGCCCGCAAAAATGGGAAGAGTATTTCAGTGTCACCTTGGCACTCATGATATTGTAATAACGTCGTTCAAATTCTGCCAATTCATCAGCCATGCGACGATCAAGGCCGAGACAAATATAATGGTCGAGTCGTTTAGATCTGGCGTTCGTGAGCACGTTTTCCAGTTATAACGACGGTCAAATGGCTCTCAATCATTGTTGTGCAAGGTACGATGACGTAATCAGACAATAACGTATCGAAGAGCACATGTACCCAACACAGAAATTGTGTTGTCATGAGCGGCGTTTTCTACTTTAAAGCATGCTAATCGTTATAGGTGAGCTTCTTTCATCCTATCTGACGTTTGCTTTAATACCTACAAATGCGGAACATTCCATTTAAATAGCTTTAACAGGAGTGTGCGCAATACGCGCCATATGGCCAGCGTAGCCGGCGCACCCCAAAGCCCAAGTCATCATCATCACGGAGGTTGCTCAATGCTACATGCTGTGGTTCCTGCCCTCCGCTGTCATGTGTCCCGTCAGCTGCCGTTATTCCGCCGTGATGAAGCCCATCGGCTGTCACAGACGGGAGCCTCGGCGTGTTCCAGACCTGTGTGATGCCGAGGAGCCCAACAGCTTCAAGATCGTGTTCCTGGGCGCCGCCGGTCGGGAGTACATCAGTGCGCGCCGAGACCCACGAGCTGATGGAGGGCTGGATGAGGTCCATCTCGTCTGCCAGCTACGAGTACATCACACTCATGGTCGCTGAGCTGCAGAAGAAGCTGGACGAAATCACATGTCAGTGGTCAGCCTTGGTGTGCACTGGATTGAGCTTTTGTAGAACCGTGCCGAAGGGTGACTATAGCATTGACCAATGATTAGGGACCCAAAAACTTGTCTGACGTAGACGACCAAGGGAGATAACCTTCCAATCGTTTCCTGTCTGTACCTCGCGTTCTTTTTTTGTGTGCTTAGATACCTCATTGTGTGGCAAACTGCATTCTTCCCTGCTTGATATGATACCATATGCCCGAAAATTTATACCGTTTTCAACCTCTGGATGTGCGTGGCCTTGGCTCTGCACGAAACATGTGATAGATGAACCGTTCCCTCGAGCGCCAGCTTTGCGCTGTGTCGTACACAGCAAAGTTACGTGGTTTCTCCCACCGTCCGGTGGGGCCGAATGTAGAAGTGCTTTTTCCGTCTGTCCGTCCGTGCGCCCTCCGTTGAGCGTGCCGCCTGACGCCCGGCCGGCGCCTCCTTGCAGCCAACGCGTCGGCGACCAGCCGCCTGGTGGAGGTGGAGGAGCCGCCGACGGCGCCACCCCGCCAGCGGCGCGTCAACCCATTCCACCAGAGCGAGCCGCCGCCGCCCGGCCTGGCAGCCAGCTTCAGTGCGCTGCACGACGAGCTGGGGCGCGTCATCCGCTACGACCGCGCCAACTGGCTGTCGTGCCGCGCGCCGGCCGAGCAGGCGCCGCTGATACAGCTGTGACTGCGCCCGCCGCGGCAGTGGGCGGCGCCCGGCGGCGACGCCCCGAGACTGATCTCCCTCTCGGTCTGGGACGTGTGCGTGGGAGTGCTGCGCGATGGGGCGGGCTGGGGGTGGAGGGGAGGGTTGGCGTGTGGCACCGGAACCGGATCCTCTGGGCCACCGAAGCGTGTCCTGGTGATGCCGCCTGCTGCCGTGGAAGATGCGGTCACGTGCTGACTGTCGCTGCTGTGATGTGTGATACATCCGTAGAAGGAAAAATGCTGTCATTTCAGGTGCGCGAGGCCGGCAAGACTGGCTGCCGTCCGTAAAGTGCGCAATTGTGGCAACGTGTCGCCACCGGCCCCTGTCAGTGCTGGAAAGGTTCGCGGAACTGTGCCTCACCGCACCATCGTCATGTGATAATCGCTGCATTCTTTTAGCTAGCGGCCAATTTTAACACGGTATTGTTATATTACGGCATTTGGTAGATATTGATGCAGCGATGTCAATTATTAGCATGCAGCCCGTTACAAAAAGACCGCGTCGTTACATTACCGATATTTCCTCTCACATATGTGTGAGGTTACACGCCTGGTAAGGTACCTGCGGTATGTTAAAAGCCATGTTGTAGGCAAGAACACCAAGCTTTTCTCTGCAAACGAGAAAGGCGTACAAAGGGTTTCCCCTGGCGCACGCCGAAGAACCTGATATTTGTTGTGTTCTTTAGCATTTCTGTGTGGGAGCGCCTGGTTGTTTGCCATTTCGATCCTGCTCCGTTGTCCAGTCCCGCATATGGTGAATATTATTGGTCGTATAGTTTGATTGAATTCACTGTTGTGATCACACGCCAGACCATATCATCGAAGAGATCCATACCATACTGACCGCCTTATGGTGTACTTAATAAACGCAGTTATGGACAAGACCTTGTGGTACGTAACAAATCATGGTACGCCTCTGGGTGTGCCTTCCGTGTTTGGAGGGAAATACATCGCAGCTGAGCTAGCAAGGACCGCAGTGTTTTGTCATGCAACCCATCAAACGAGGTTTGACATGAAGTGCGGTCAGACATGTCGGGCGTGGGTGACACTTCCGCTGCGCACCGTCCGTGATCTCCGATATGGAGCCCACAACGTGACCAGAGTCGCCACACTGTTGGGATATCCGCCACCGGAGTCTGTTCGGAACTGTACGTCCGTCTGCTTGTGCCCGACCAGCCACGGCCGGACGGTGCGGAAGCCGCACCACCCGCTGCGGCAGCGAGCGCGGAGTACCGAGAGCTACACGGAGCAGCTCAACTAGCCTAAGACGTAAGTGGGCAACAGTCATTGGCCGGTGGTGTGCAGTGCGACCGCCAGAAGAAGTTCCTCGCGGTGTCACACGCAGTTTGGGCACTGGTCTCCCTCCCCTAAGACACTGAACGAGTTTCCCATATTTATTGTTAGTCTATTAGGTATAACATCGATGCACAATTAAAGCAATAAATAAAACATGTTCGCAGCACGGGGACTAGGGTGGCTGCTTACACGCGCCCATGCGCAGGGCGCTCCGTAACAAGAGCCATGGCGGGACTGTGCCACACTAAGGTTCCAGGGCTGCGCGGAAGTTGGCGAACCGGGATATCCAAAGCTCAGTTTCAATACCACCTACCATAGACTTCTCCACCACGTGTGGGGAGCTGTATTTTAGTATCCGTCGATATACCGGTTCTGCAGCACTGCAGACCGCAGTGTACGTAATTATCAATTCACCCGTGAATATCTTGGCCGTCACTCAACAGTAACCCATGCACCTGCTGGAATGTTCTTTGAGCACACATCGTTAGGCGTCCACGAAAGCAAACTGCGAAATATTTCAACGGGAAATATCTCTAAATCTTTGACCCCACAAGCTTCTGCAAACAGCTGATCACTACCGACGCTTTCCGGCTGCACTTGACGCGAAGATCTCGCCAATTAATCCTATGGTTTTAGCTGAAAAGGTCACAGCCAGGCCTCCCGCCGCCAGTATGCACCTACCGACCCCCTGAGCTGATACCACCGGTCGCCAGCTGCCGCACAAACCGGGAACCTCAGGATGCTAGGCGCCGGCCCGTCGGTCGGGCCAGGCGCCGTCGGCGAGCCCGACACCGGCCACAGCCGGCCTGTGCGGAGAGGGACGTAGCGGCGGCGTGTGGCGGCTCTCCTGAGCAGCAGTGCGACAGCAGCCCCGCGAAACAGACCCCGTTACTGCCAACGTTCCGCTGTTGGCACCCACTATACGGAGGAGAACGACATCGGCAGACGGCGCGCCAGCCAGGCGCTCAAGCGGGGAGGCGGCAAAAGAAGCGTAGGGAAGGCGCCCTACGGGGCATTCCTGTCAACTCGGGTGGCGCGTGGTGGGCGGTGGCGCACCCTGGCGGCCACCGCGGCCGCGCGGCCCGCCGCGGTGGCGACGCGGGCCGCGGCCGCCGCCTCGCGGTCTCTGCTGGCCGCCGCGAGAGGGCGCTGGTGCGCCGGCAGCGGGCGGTGCAGCCGGCTCGCCGCTGCCGCCGGGCAGCGCGGCGGCGGCAGCGGCGGCACTGGCCGCCCGCCGCCTCTCAGCCCGGGACGGTCTCTGGAACAAGGGGCATGGCCCGGTCAGCTGGAGGACGGGAAGGGTCGGAACTGACGACAGAGGAGCGGACATACAGACCAGACAGGCACACATGCGGACCAACCAGTCATGCTGAACAAAGCAAACCCACCGACAACAGACGTGTGAAGTGTGTAAACAAACACGTCAAGTAAACACTGTGGCAAACACGTGTAAAGGCAAACAACACAGACAGAAAGGCGGTCAGACAGAAACAGAATGGAATACCGGGAATACAGCGCCAACATACAACTGAACACCTGATCAGGCAGGAGACCAGACCGTTTGCTGTCCCGTCGCCGGCCGCACAGCCAGCGGCTCCTCTCTGTGGTCCTCCAATCACCGTCCTCCGCTCGGCGCACCGCCGCCTGTCCCGCCACCAGTCGCCGGTCTCACCTGCTCGGTCTCGGGCGCCGTGACCAGCAGGTACTTGTTGCGCTCTTCCTCCGGGTCAATGAGGCCGCCGCGCTGCTGCTGCTGCAGCCGCAGCGCGGCCATGCAGCGCTGCAGGTTGCGCAGCTCGGCCGTGGCGCTGAAGCCGGCGGCGCGGGCGCTCAGCTCTGGCGGCGGCGCCTCGCGCAAGGCCGCAAGGTCGTACACGATCGGCTCCCGACACACAGGGCACACCACCTGCGGCAGCGGCAGCCGGCCGTCAGGGCACCGAGGCCGCGAGGGAGGCGGTGGTGCCGCGCGTCGCAGGAGATCGCGGTCGCAGATCTACGTCGTGGATGACGAGGTAGACCCGTTGGGAGAAGTTATATATATATATATATATATATATATATATATATATATATAGTGCGTGCGTGCGTGCGCGCGTGCGTGCGTGCGCGCGTGCGTGCGCGCGTGCGTGCGCGCATGCGTGCGTGCTTGCGTGCGTGCGTGCGTATGTGTGTACTTGCGAGTTGACATGACATAGTTGAGTTCCGCAGTTTAGTTTACTACATGGCGCATCCAGTACAAGTTGCTGTGTGTCTTCACTACAGAGCCACGACTGTGAGTACGCTCCAACAGTGACCAAAATAATATGGTGACCGGAAAAGACAGCCCAACAACGGAAGGCAGCTCACATTTTTCATCTTCTTTTCTTGCCACGGCGGCACTTCCTCGTCCTCCGGAGAGTTCAGGAAGTTGTCAATGTACCTGGAAAATACGTTGGAGTGCCGCTCAATCCACCACTGAGCATCAGCAAACCCTCTGCTTGCATGCGGCAGGAAGAGGTGGCTGACGAGCACGCAACGGCCTTTTTTCTCACATACATTCAACTAGTAAAACATTTGAAATCACGCGATTAAATACTCCGGACCACGAAGAAATGTCAAAGATCTGCCTGGATCACGCATCCTTGCAAAAATAATGTATCACGACATCCACCCATGCTTGCGTCGTTTCGGACAGTTTGCACGTCACATGGACCCGCACGCTAGAATTCGATCATTATTTTTGTCGGTCAAGGTAACAATGGATGATCCTCTGATTTAGCCCCACGAAAGTGGACAGGAAAGACGCGTTTGAAGCCGTATATGGCGTTGCCCAAAACGAAACCAAAACGGATACAAAACACTTCGCCAGCGCGTCACACGGACACCGAACGGCCGGTCATCTGGCGAGCCATCGCGCGAATCCCCTGGCACCACGAACTGCATACAATAAAAACAAGAAGGCTACTGGACAGAGCGTGCCGCGCCTTTTACCCATATACGGCACACTGCCTCACCACACGGCCCGTGTGCGACTGAGGGGCCATCTCGGTGTCGAAATTTTCATGGGCTGTCCAATATTTACGCGGAGAGTCTTGACAGCAGCATGGGCGGATCGATGGCTCCCAATTTCAAGGACACTCAGCTTTCCAAGCCGCGACGATCACGCTGCCCAAGTGTCCGGGGACGGCCAATACCACCCGAGGCGGCCTGTTGTCGCAGACCGAGGCCAGCTCACTGTGGCTCGTTTCCTCGAACAGAGCAGCCGCGGCACCACGCGGGGGGGGGGGGGGGCTCCCTCTGCGCCCCGCCACTCTACGCCGTCATCCCAGGCTCACCTGGCCAGACACTGGGCGTGGAAGTAGTGGTAGCAGACGGTCTTGGTGAAGACATCACACTCGGTGAACTCGTACAGGCAGATGACACACGGCACGGCCGGCACGTTGCTGTCCGTCAGGTGGTCTCGCGCCAGCTGCAAACACCGTCCCCGCCGGCCGATCAGCCTCGCGAGCCGCCTCGGGCAGCCGACCACCGGCCGCCGGCGCACGCCGACGCCGGCTCTACTCTTGCCGCCGCTCACGGTGCGGTCACTGTGTGCGCTTCAGATCACATCAGCAGCGTGGCGTGGCGCAAGACCATACCGCGAATGGCTATATGACACTTCAGGCTATGCGCGAGAGCACGCGACTGAACGGTGTGTGTGCGAGGCGCACTGGTCCGCGGAGCATCTGAACTGACACAAAATCCACCACGCTGTACAGTAGCTGTGCGGAGCAAGTGGGAGAGACCGCCAGGTCACACTGGGTACATCACGGCCTCGCCGGACCCCCGCCGGCGCACCTCCATCAGCTGGTAGAGCACCGGCTCGCCGCGGTACTCGTCCATCTTCTCCTGGCACTGCGCCTTGACCTGCTGCACCGTCTGCTCGCTGATGCCGCGCGGGTTGGTGATCAGCACCTGGCAGCGAAGCCGTCGGCGGACCGTCATCGCACCGTTCTGCGTCATGCCTCGGGGGTGGTTGAACGTCCGATGGTCTAGTGCGCGCAAATCCCTTGCCTTCCAATCATGTGACAAACTCAACCGTGTCTGACTCAGTTTTGTCAATAATGCGCAGGGACGCGAGCAGCTTGCTTGTCGTGAGTCACAACAACGTATATCTACAAAGTCTCAGGGCCCCAAAAGGCTGAGGCCTATGCGGGCCTGAAAAACAGGCTTATCATAATAATGTAACGACTCGGTGATGTAACGACATGGACGGTGTAGCGAGTTCCCAAACTCCACGCACCACGAGGGGAATTGGGCGACGGGCATGAGATGTACAGTGGAATAAGTAATCCATACAGTTTAAGGACTCTGGTTACCAAAAACTTGAAAAACGTGGGGATCGTACTTCACTGCATTTTTTTCATTGTACCCTCTAATCTACGGGCTCTACAAGTGATAGAACAGGACCGTAAGTAAACTTTGAGCCATTATGCCACCAAATTCAGTCCACCAACAAAACGCTACAATACTGGATGGAGATGCCGGCGGCAAATGAAAACGCGACACACACATTGCAAGAACCAGTCGTGGAGGGCAACAGGTGCACGTGAACATGACAAAGCAGGACACAAACACAGTCCCAGCTGGGCACGGCTGATGTCGCAAACAAACATTCCGGATATGTCCGCCACAATCCACGTCACACAGTCAACCATCCCTGAACGCTTCCTGATAAAAAACCGCGAATGCAGATTCCGCCTCTAATCACTTCCTCTGCGCATTCCGGACGTCGAGAGCGACACAACAGGACGCGGCCGGCGCCGCGGGCCGCGCGGCGTGTAATCAGCCGGCCACGGCAGCGCCGCACATTCCCGGCCGGCCATTGTGCGCCGATACAATCGCGTTTCTGCGCGCGTGCCGACGCAGCGCCGAGCCGACGCCGCCTCCGCCTCACGGCCGACGTCAGCGGGCCGGCGTGCTTCCCGCCGGTCGAGGTCGCGCGGCCGACACGAGCGACGGCGCAACGCCGCGGCCTCCAGAGGCAGGTGACGGGGCCGAACCACACGCAGGCTGTCAGCTGGGCTTCAACTGCTCCCCTCATTGGTGCAACTATTATGCACTGTTATGGCCCCACACAGCTGCTCTCAAGACATGCTCATTGTCAAGACGTCCGGGTGTATCCGGTTTGCACTTCAGGACAATCTTTGCAAGAGCCCCCCACTGCACCTGCCGGGCCAAATTCATGCTTTTTTGCGCATGAATTGTACACCCCTGCTTAAAATAAACTCTCCTAGAGACGACTCCCTCAAAACTCAGACTGATCTCAAATTGAATACAGTCCACTTATAACTAAGTGGACTAAGTGGACTCACAACACAGTCCATCCATAAGATGGGGCGTGACACCCAAAGCTGGTGTGACCATGGTGACACCAGCTTTGGTGGTGGAAGGGTGGTGACACCGGCGATTTCCGGCATCAAACACAAACCGGATACAGCTCTAGCTCCCTTCAGTTCAGCAGGCAGCAAATCTGCCCGTGTCGCGGGGCGGGTGACGACCGGCGGGAGATCTGCCAAGGTTGGGAGTGTGCCGTAACTCGGGGTTTACATGGGGGTACCTGATGGGCAGATCTGCCAGTGATGGGGTCAGCCATACCTCGGGGCTTACACGCGGGTACCCGGCGGGCAGGTGCAGCGTCAACGTCATGCGCACAAACTGCTCCTCGCGGTTGTCGGCTGTGGCTGGATGCAGTGTGACAGACACCTCCTGCGGCCGCTCCCTGCCAGCGGCAGCTCGTTGTCACAGTTGGCAGGGGTGGCAAGCACAAGTGCTTTGGTTTTGGGGAAAGTTTCTGGTAGCTCATCCATGCTGAACATATGGAGGTAGTGGATGAAGATCAAAGTTGGAAAATAGGGGCCATGGATGGTGGGTGAGCAATATAACATAACAAAGTTACCCATGGTAGCATGAACATTGCCTTTTTGTCACATTCACCATGTCCTGCCTCTAACTTCTTCCAGCAAAATGAAGAGAGGGAACATGGGCTAGTACACTATATGTACAAATATTGAGTCGCACATTCATCATGTTTCATCTAACTCACCCAAGCTTGATGGACAAAGTTCATTTGCCTCCCAAAAAACATATTGACCTTACTCTGATGATATAATACTACTTTCTTGTGAAGGTTCACAATACACAATCATAATAGCTATCAAATAGGCACATATTTCAGCATGCTAAGGTAGCACTGACATACCCGTTGTAGACGACATTCAAATCATCCATCAAGGTAGCCTCCAATGCAGCTATCTCGTCTAATAAACTGGAACAGGGAAGGAAAAGTCAGCATTATATAAAGCTTTCAAACAGAAAAAGGAAAACCAATATCATGTTACTGAGGTCTTTCAGCCTACTGGGTGCTGTGCTTAGCTATGTAATGCACACCCAGTTTAGCAGCAGAATAATACAAACATGCCATATGAAACATGATAGCTAACAGGAGAGCAATACTTTCCAAGCATTGTTAGTGTACTGACTTGCAACAGGATTTCACAATATTTTTTAAAGATTATTCCATGTAGTAGCCACTAAGGGCTTAGTGTTAAATAAAAAATCTATTAGAGTTTTACCCTTTCAAACTATACAGATGTCACCAGCTACTGCTCTATTTATTACCTCAAATTCAATAAGCTTCACACTTAAACAAACCTCCTAAAATTAAATTTAGATCACATATCACATAAGACATTGGAAAGGATGATCTTGTTGGTGCTAACCTACTACATAACTCACATATCATCATTTTCCATGGCTGCTTCAGCTTTCTGAGATTCTGGAGTTGCTTCTGAGGGTAATGACACAACTTGTCACCAAATACAAAAGCACATGAACAGATGGTATAACAAGATACTGAATTGGCATGGGAGTGGTTGTAGGACTGAAAAAAGCAATATAGCGATATTAATGCCTTGCACCTGACTGTGCTTATAAGCCATTATTGCAATATGCAGCGGGATTGTTGACCTTTGTAGATATTACTGCATTGCTGAGAATGATCGATCTGAAAGATGGACATCACCTTCCATGGGCATTTCTCGATGGGAAATCAAGCTGCAAACAAAATCTGTCGGAGAACGGAAACAAACCCCAGCCAGTGCCACTACAACTACCAAGCTCACCCTCTTTGAATAGCGTGCGTACTTAACGCTCGAATATGTGGACCTGATAAAATATCACGAGGAGAAATAATCCAACGTCACCTCACCGTGCATTCGTGCCAGCTGTGTAGAAAACTTCATCAGGCGCTCAACTGATCCGAAGCGACTCATCAGCCGGATAGGCTCCATGTTCGAAAGTATGATTGGCTCAAGAGTTTAGACTGGGTATTTCATTGGTGGAAAACAGAGACTGCTCAGCTGAAAGCTTGGTCTGAATGCAATGACATCCCAGCAAATGTGCTACCAAATCCTGATAAATTTTGCAAAGAAACTACACGTTTGAACTCTTGGTGTTCGTTTCTTCCATACTAACTTGTCCACATCGCTGGAAATTTACCGCACAGGTGATCTCACGGACAGAAACGGAAGGGTGGGGGGGGGGGGGGGGGGGGATGGGCGGAGAGAGGTATATTCTCCCCAATAGCCCGCGTTACTTCTACCCGCATAACTTCTATCATATTGCATGGAAATCATTGGGTCTCGCGATATCATTGGCCCTTGTAGTGAAACGACCGCATGCTAGCAAGGAGTAAAGAACGGGAACGAACAATATTGCTTTGTACGGTACGATGTGTCCTTCACACTGGTGATGTAATAATACGGCGTACAATGAAAACACTGGGAGCAATGACAAGAACATGAAACCATCGACGAAAGTAATTCAAACAAGATCACTTCATTCTCGCAAAAACGACGAGGGGCTGACGACCAACTAGACTAGCGGTCAACACCTCAGGCAAGCAATTAAAATAGAGTCAAGCTGAACAAAGGCCCGCGGAGTCACCTGCAACCCAAAGCAGCATTTTAAAAGAATGGACGATCCTTTCCTGACGCCGGCCCCAACCGGACCCCGACCAGGGCGTGGAGTGACAGGAACGGGAGCAGCGCCCTCCTTCCGGACAGCGGCCAGGAATTTTGGGTTGTTGCCGACAGGGGCAAAGCTTCGCAAAATGTGTGTGTGTGTGTGTGTGTGTGTGTGTGTGTGTGTGTGTGTGTGTGTGTGTGTGTGTGTGTGTGTGTGTGTGTGTGTGTGTGTGTGTGTGTGTGTGTGTGTGTGTGTGTGTGTGTGTGTGTGTGTGTGTGTGTGTGTGGTGTGTGTGTGTGTGTGTGTGTGTGTGTGTGTGTGTGTGTGTGTGTGTGTGTGTGTGTGTGTGTGTATGTGTGTGTGTGGAGGGGAGACAGCACGAAATGATGGGGGGGGGGGGGGCTCATCGGCTTTGGCCCGCTTTCTTCTCAAAGCGACGGAGGAGGGACCTGGAGTCAAAGTTCGGTTCGGGAGCCCCCAATTGAAAAGGATGCCACACACCTGGTCGCCGGCGATTTCGTGAAGGTCGTGCAGGGACTTGATGATCCTGGCCCGCCGTCCTTTGCCAACCTTTGTCTTCATTCGGCAGTTATCCGACCAGACGGTGTGTAATGCTCCCACGTTTCACCCGGCGAGCCATGTACACGGTTTGCTGGTCTTCTTTGTTAGGCTGTCTTTGAGGTTGACTCGGACCTAGGTCTCCGCGACTGGCAAAGGGCTATGGAGCAGACATCCTAATTACAGGTCCCGTTAAGCTCTTCTCTGCTGTTGAACGTTGCGAATCTGTCCAGGGGCTGAAATCTCTTATCGAGACATGACGGGCCGCCTCGTGGCTGTGGTCGAGGTCTGCAGATGTCATCCAAGAGCTAGCAATCGTTATTAGGTCCACGATGCTCTTGTCAATCCCTTCGTCTTCGTTTTCCAGCGCTCCGCTCATCGCAAGACCAGTTTCTATGAGAATACTGCTCTTACACGTTGAGCTCGCCATGAGCGAAATACAACCTAGACTTTATATATCTGGCAACTCCTTTTCCTTCTGTGCAACCGTCTCCGTGGCGAAACTGACCACCTATCGGTCAGGTTCAACTTTCACTCTCCTCCAGAGACACAGGTTTAATTTTACGGAGGCTGAAGTAGAAAGGGTCCCTGATATCCATGGGTCTGAGACACGGTCCCCTAAGTTGCCAGTACCAGACCCCAAGTCTGCCAAGGGTCCCTGACCTAGTCATACATTCAATATCACATCATCATATAATGTATTCGGTTGAGTTTAATGAAGGGGCCGATCGATTTACGAATAAGGCCACCGAGTTACAGCTGAAAAAGGCCCCCGTAATGTCAAAGGGCCTTTGGGTCTAATTTTAGGCCTCTTGTATTTGATCAAGATCAAGATCAAGAGGTGCTGTCCAGCTTTCTAGCCGTCCATGACTTGACGATGCGAACCTGCAGCTATGGATCGCACTCGCCCGCCTGCAGAACGCACTGTTAATCTGGAGAATCGCCGTTAATCTGGGCTCACGAGCTGCCATAACCAATGGCTGACGACCTCAGCCTCCATGTGACCTCGGCCAGAGCTTAGCAAGCGACCGGTCATATCAACCAGGGCGCGTCCACATCAAACTTCCAACTCGTCACGGAAGCTCAGAAGATGAATAATAGCTGGCCCAACGGCGCTCCTCATGCGGTGCACTCTCACCATTCGTGTGCTGTTAGCAGCTTGAGCAAGTGTTGTCTCTGTCGATTGGATAGCTACGTGTCCGATTATGTCTAACAATTACGCTCGTAAGTTAGCCTCACTGCATGGATGAAGTGAATTTGAGAAATCCTTGCATGACATGCAACAGCGTAGCATGTTTTCAATCCATGTGATTTCTGTGCCTACTTCGTTTCTTTTACTGCCAAGGTTTATTCTCGCGCATATAAATGCGTGTACGCATCTGATGGGGGGGGGGGGGGGGAGAACGTGTCCCTGCTGGATTCGCTGCGGGCCGGCGATGTATTGCCTTCTATACCTGATCGCCATAGCGAACAAAATGTACAACCCAGGGTTTGCAGGAATGACAGGCGGTGAGCCGGAGCGCAATGTTTAGCCAATGCAAAGGCACGAACAAAGCAGCAGCAGGTAAGTTATGTTAGACAGTGTTGGTGTTCGGGCGCAAAGAACCAATGTAGTTGAAGCGCCTCTAAAACCCAACAACAGTTAACAACAGGATACTTAAGGTGAATGTTACTGTTAACGTCATAGCTCTTGCTGATCATTTTGTGACTCAATGCTGTGCTAGCGGGTAGCTTAACAACGCCGTTTATCATCTATCATGGGGCACGAAAACAAGTTAGACCGCTTAATAAATAATTAAAGAGGACACAACACATCTCAATGGTGGACACCAATATCCCTGTGCAACGTTGAGTTCTACCCCTCCCCAGGTACATAGCGTCACATCACATTTCATGACACGTGTCCATAAGGTGCTCCTCGATTCACTGCAAGAGATAGGTCACGGGGGCCACACTGCGCGCGTGGACATTTCACTCAAACGCCTCGCCCCCGCGCGCCCGAAATGTCGGTGACGCCAGGCACCCAGCGTTGGCTTGGAATAAGCGACTGTCAGCAAAACACCGGCAGAGGAACATCCCGGAAAAAAACGAAACGTGGCATGCCGTATCTGAGAGGCGCTGCCGACCTGTCAACACCAGGAGCCGACCCATGGCAACTGACGAACAGCCCCCCCCCCCCCCTGCTCCCACAGGAGACGACCAAGACCGTACCACCTAGAATGTGCTTGGTCAGGTTCTTTAATTTCTTTTTCCTGGCCGTCATGTCCCGGAGGTCATTAATAACGTGCCGACCTATCAATAGAACAGCCCATTGCTTGCTCCTTCACGGATAGTTGAGCGGGGAGACATATTAGGCCCTTTCAGAGCGTTTGGTTGGGGCCATGGCTGGAATAGCTCCTGGTCCTCCGCTTCTGTCAGCTAGCAGATATCAACAGTACGCGAACCCTTGGTTCCAACAGGCAATGCGTTCAATGCGCGCCATTCACTCCATTATTGAATCACGGCCGTGTATCGATCACGTTGGATAGACGAGAGCAAGCCACAAGATGCGGAGCAAGACGCGAGAAGCTGTTAAAAAGGACACGCAACTTGTAATCTCAGGACTCGGGCATTACACTTTCATTAGGGGCAACGTTGCTTTGCTAGTGTTTTGCACCAAATTGCAACATAAATTGTGTTTTGTTATGCTGTTTGCGCAACTGAGTTTCTCGAAAACTTAGCATGCGTCACATTTGAATCCAAATTTCGTTTTTATTCTTTCCCTCTCAAAGGGAGTGTTTCACATTTATAGAGGATCTTGAACTGAAATACCCATCTTGAAGATCATGCAGTGCATTTCACAGCTGTGCCCTGCTTAAGGCCTAATCCCATCTAACTTCTGAGCTACACGTTCGCAAAGATGTGTGGACTATTTCGTGCAGACTATTTCAAGGTCACCCAGGCATCCATGACGCCATAGTAACGTCATCCAAACCCTCCCAATACCGCTGACGTGCGGCGATCAAGGCGGAGAAAAAAAATCGTGAAGTCATTCATATCTGACTTTCGTGGGCACAATGTCCAGATATAACGGGTGTCCATTGGCTTTCAATCCATGTTGTGCAGGATACATTGACGTAAACAAGCAATGACGTACTGAGTGGCATATTTGCTGAAAAAAGAAATAGTGTCATCTAGAGTAGCCTTTTCGACTTCAAAGTATTCCAACAGTTATAAGCTAGCTTGTTCCATGATATATTATGCTTGCTTCAATATCTTCAAATGTGGAACATTCTCTTTAAACTCTTTAGCTCTTTTCATAACGCAGGCGTGACAAACGTTATGTGCTTTATGATGGTAGTGATTACTTTTGCCCGAGCTGTGACAAAAAGAACAACAAAAACAAGCAGCACAGTCATTGATGGCCTACTCTTTTTAGTCACAAGTTGAATTTAAGCGCGCGTTGCTTTGTTTAGTCATGATTTATCCATTGTTGGATAACGAAGCCTTGATAGCTGAAATGTTCCCTTTAAATCCCAATATTCCCCCACCCACACCCTGAAGAGTCCCAGCCGTAGGATGAACAAAAGAGCCGCAAGCTAAAAAGCGACGAATAACAGCGTCACCACTCAACGTAATGAGACGCTGTCACAATATCTCTGCAACCCTGAGGCTGGGACAGCCGGTTCGACTCGAGACGTGAAGTGGAGATGAGTTGAGATCATTGGTCTGTTTCATCACCCTCCTTTCATCATTCCAGATCAAACGGACTAAGGTACTCAGAACACACAAAGGTTTAACCGTGGCTCTAACACAGGCTCATGTTCGGTACGCCCGCAGCACACGGTGTGCGTCGTCACCATCAAGTTTGACCGGCAGATAGTCTTTTGACAAGCGGTCTTTTCTGCGGAAGTAGGGTTTTGCGATGATAATTTTTGTTGTAGAGAAAATTATTGCCGTGAGGGATCTGTCCTGTGCCCAATGGCCCTACGTCGGGTGTGCATGGGCACCGCCTGTTGGTGTGCATATTATGCCATTTAAGCGAATGGAGACGGGGAGATTTTCGGTGACATATGTATCTGTAATTCAGGGCTACCAGGTCTACAATTCATGGGAACACTGGCGCTTTTTGCGATACCTGGCGAAAGATAAAAGAACGACATTCGTGACTGATGATGATAATGATAGACCTATTGCTACCGCTGGGACAGACGCCTCATCATTATTCCAGTTAAGGAACGGGTTTTAAAACAAAAAGTTGGTAGAAACAAGTCCAAGTTTTGCATCATGCATAGATGCAATGCGCAAAACGACAACCGGCCGTAGATGCAATGCGCAAAACGAGAACCGGCTGGTCCAAGTTGTGGTAAACAAAACAACAGTGCATTTGCACCGAACCTAGCGGTTAGCTGAACACCCGGCTGCATGATTATGTCCATTATTTATCAATTATTACAGCTGTTTTCTTGTTTGTGTGTTGAGTGCCCCAACAGAGGCTCTGAAAGACGACGCGCTAAGTGGTGGCAAGCGTGTGGCGGGAGCTGCTTCGCCCAGCCGCCCAGCAAATCCGACTATGGCAAAAAGGAACAGAGAAAGTGGTTAAGCCTAACCCCAAAACAGACAACAGAATGGGATTTCTCCCTAACTTAGGTCTGCTTTCATCTCAAGGCTAGAGGTGCTGGAGCACTCAACTAAATGGAAGACCACACCCCTACCCCTTGTTATAGGGCACTGGTGTCACCCCTGCTCGGTTTGTATGAAATTAGACAATTCTATGTTGCGTACATATTCAAGGAACAGCCAGTTACGGTTAGGATCAGAGTCACCAAGATGGCAGGAAAAAGAATCCGACGTCTAAAAGGGAGGCTAACGGGTTTCTCAATGACCTAGGCAATTCGCCAGGAAGTGTAAAATTGCATATGAAACTGCGCACCGAGAGCAAACTGTAGGCGATCATATTTCCTACATTATGACATCTTGTGTCAGTTTTGTTTGTCCGCTGGAAAAACCTACCAGCATTAGCCATCTCAAACACGTGTCTTGAAGAGATGTCAGCCAGTGTGACATCGTGTGTTTGATGGTGTTAAAATGTGGCTGGTGCCGCGGAACCCATTCGGGCTGCAGAGTGCGCCGAAGAAGTGAGCCGGTGTGTCCCAGCGTGTCTCGTGTAAGAATAGAAAGTACTTTTTTGGTGTTCGTTATAGGCCATCTCTGGCAAGCTGATCAGCAGTCTCACTACCAGGAATATTCCCGTGGAGTAGCATTCAACACATTTTGATGCGTGTTTGGTATTTAAGAGGCGTGATGGTATTCCGGATTCCGACAATGAATGGATGTGCTGTGTTGTGTCGGAAATTGAGGACGTGAAGCAACAAAAGAGAGTCGTTGCAGCTGATGGCTTGAGATTCACTGTACCACGAACAGGTACTCCTAACGAGCTGGTTGGCTCTAGAAGGACACATCGAGTGTCCCTGAGTGGATTCCGCATAAACAGTAACCAATGCACGACGGCTTTTGTGGGACTAAAATTGCTAATGGAGGCTGACAATGTGTAGAGCGGGATAAAACCGAATTAGTCACCCAATATCGCAACACCTACCTCTATGATTAATACTCTGTTGAACAAAGTGAAGCGGGTGTAATGCGGCTTGATTTGTTCCCTATATGTTTTTGCTTGGAATTATGTCTCAGATTAATCTGCTAAAAGCTAACTACTGTACATTAGACCTGAGGTGCTATTGATAATTTAGCTTTGAAGTGTTCTCGAGACACCAAGCAATCGGTTTCACATAACGAGAAAAGTTTGAAACTTCAGGACGACCGGAATATCTTTAGTGGTAACTGCAGCATACTGAGATGATACAAAATCGAAGCGCCGCATCGATCTTTGAGATCGCGTTGAATAGGCACGCCACATGAGACGCACTACAGGATTCTCGTACCAAATGGGTGGGCTCGGTTGGGTATGCAGTATCACTTTATCACACTACTGGGCCCTATGGCCTATAACTTATACATAAACACAAGACTGGAGCTTTGTAAAAGAGCTGTGGCGGGGGCGGGGTGGGTGGGGTGGGGGCAAACCCATGTTTGGAAGGGAGGGAAAGAGCACGTAATTTCTTCTGGGTTCTCTCAACATAGGGGGCTCGTTTTCTTATTGGGGTTGTAGGACCATAACCTAAAAGGAATAGAAAATCCATCAACGCATGAGCACCACGGCAATATTTTCACGCCACGTGATTTTTAGGGTTTAGCCTCATAGTGCGCGGAACGTGACCCCAAGCATGACATCTTATTCGGGGCGAAGGATCACGTTCGGGCTGGTTTGAGAGCGCCTCGCTCTTTCGGATTTGTCCCAGGATGCACTTTGATGGCGCGCACTCAGCACGTGTTGTGTCAGTACCATTCCATGATGCTATTTTAAACGACTTATGATATTGTGAACGAAGACCCAACTCTTGCTTCTATTGGTGCAAGGGTGGATTGCTAGGTCTCGCCGCTCGTCCGTCCGGAAGCAAATTTGCCAAACACAAGTGCTGTATCGTTTCCCATCATCATTTATTGAAAATTTGTAGCACCCGAGAGTCGAGAGAGCACGTGGATAACTGGGAGTGAGCCAATAAGAAGTGCGGAAAAAATCATCTGCGCATTGACGGGACTGAAGGAGCGCGCTGCTAAGGCGATACTGAATATTGATAGTGAATAAGAATCAAGGGTGTGGAGAGAGCTACATGAGCATGAAAGTTATCGGTTTGACTGCCTTCTTATGCTTGGTTTCTCACTAGCTACAAGAACACCGTACATGAAACCGAAAGTTAGGGCCTAGGGGTTAGGGGTACCGACTACCGATAATGTAGTGGTTTAGCTGCGCGCCTGGGAAACCCATGGTACGGCGTTCGGTTCTCCGCCATGCCCGCCCATACTGCCAGGGTGAGAGGCAGGCGACGCCATTTGCCTTCAACAGCTGATTGCGTCGTAAACCCCCAATCAAACACACGACACTGATATTCTATTACACGCATTGATGCCAGCGATCAAGCAGAATGACGAACACATAACCAAACGTCTCTGACGCTATTCTTGTGTGGCTTACGAGGACTTGAAACCGTTAGGGCTTTTTTTATAATTATCGGTCCTTGGCGGCATCGGCGACAAAAAAAAAAACGAGGACAGGCACTCACTGTAAGCACTATGTCGCTCATTTCAACATAATCTGAATGTAATATGCGTCGCTGATTTCAGGGACATAGAACTGTTGCCCTTAGCGTGATAAATTTTGTTAACGAGAATGTTCCACATTTAGACGCGGCTTCGAACTGAAATATACATTTTGAAGACCTTTCAGTGCTGTTGAAAATTCTACCCTGCCTAAGACCTAAGCCTCTCTAATTTCTGGGCTAGAGGCTCGCAGAAATGGAGAAGGTATATCGGTGAGAGTACTTCAGTCACCTTAGCATTCATAACGTCATAACGTCATTCAAATCCTGCCATTCCCTGAGCCACGCGGCAATCAACGCCAAAAAAATACAAGTGTCGAGGCGTTCATACCTGGCGTTCGTGAGCGCGATTTCCAAATATAACGGATGTCAATTGTCTCTCAACCGATGTCGTGCAAGGAACGATGACATAATCAAACCATGACGCATTGAGGAGCATCTTTAGTGAACAGGTAATCATGCTGTCTAGAGCAGTCTTTTCCACCTAAAAAACATACCAATAGTTATGACCAATGGGTGACTCGGAAGGCAGGTGCTCCAACCAGCTGAGCTATCGGGACGGACGCTTTTGGTTACATATCAATTTTAATCATATTTACCACACGGCCTGGCGCACCAAACGAGCAACGGGCTGCACGCATCCGTCTCAGAAAGCAACACAAATATGCCATTCTTGGCATGAGCAGAGACTCAGAGTTGGTCTACCTCACATCTCTGAATGAGTATTGCATTTTCTCCGCCAGATGGGAGTGCTGGGGTCGCCCACGATTTGTCCACGTCCGCGCCGGCAAGTGATTCCTGCACCGACAGTCAAAAACAGCAAGAAGCACTTCCACCTATACACTCATTTCATGCGAGTTACCAGTTCGTCCACGTTCGGAAACCTTGGAGACTACGTTCTTGGTGTTTAATGACGTCACCAAAGCTAGACATCCGTGGCTCGCTCATAACACGTTGTCATTATGCAACGTTCCAGCTCTTTCCGTGACGTCTGAGGTATATCTGGCGGTTCGGCGCACCTGGTTACAAGGAAAAGGAGCTTACGACCGCTCTGGGAATGTTCGTAAGTACTTCTAGAGACTTTTTGGGAAATCTAAAGACTTGAGACATATTTCAAATATGGTAGCATCAAAAGCAGCACATGGTTGTTTTGACGGTAGCCATCACTTCGCCTTTGGGCCTCGGACGTGTGGGGTGCGCTCCTGACTCTGTCCTGCCCTCACGCTCTTTTCAGCTAACCAGCGGTCCCTTGGAAGCTGTCTGGATGATCAGTATCACTATCAAGTTTCCTTTGCCCTGGGTCCGCTTGAAAGCGCATGTGAACTGAGAGGACGGATTCGGATTTGCCGGCTGCAAGTGTGTGAGGATAGCTACAGTTATGGAAGTGCAAGTGACGGACGCTGGCAGTCTTCTTTTTACTGGCATTCTTCTGGCAGTTTTCTGCAAGATTGCCGTTTTCATTTATTTCTCTAAGAAGTCATCAGTGAGGAACACCAAAGGAGAGCCGCAAGACAAAAAATGGTAAGTACCGAAATGGTATTCCTGTAACAATCATGATCATGAATCGTCAACCAAAAACGTCTTATCACCAAGTGGGGTTGGTTGAACGTTTCGGTTGGGGAACGCGGGTCTACATGTGATCACTGTTAACGACGCATTGCGCAGTTCATGCGTCTGCACACACTAATGACCAGGTACCCTATGACCTGTCTTTAAATTGCGAACGTGTCATCAATATTCATATTTTTATGCACGGAAGGCTCCGCATGCCATATGGATAGAATATATATATATATATATATATATATATATATAAGACGTGCATTGAACAGACCGTATCATTCGGGTTTGCCGGGCCTGGTTTGTGTCACTGTCGGTCATCATTATCACACCATCGCAGTAAATTATTATTACCATAAACCGTTCCGATTGCCAGTGTCAGTGGTAGCTTATATTGCACGGGTCGGTCGGGTCAATGACTGCGCTTACCCACATACTGTACTGCACATGCGTAATGCTTTCGCCCACCGTCAAAGCATGACAGTTCATTCTCGGTCTGGCTGAGAACGTGAACGTGTGTTTGACTCAAAGCAGGCATCAGTACATCAAAAAACGCCGGCTGGTGTAATGCTGTCCGGATTTTCCTTTCCTCCATCTTAGCATGCCATAGCACCAGCCAGAATGTGGCTGGTGCATAGCCGAGAAGCTCCCTGAAGCACGAATCTCTATCATCACTAGATTGAATCGGGATCGATCACTAAGTTTGCCGTCGATCAGAGCGCACGAAATTAGATGCTGCGTCTCGTGACAGCGGACCCTGCGAGGCGACGGGGAGAGGAAGACGCGACCCTCTGGCGCGTTTCTTTCCATGCGACACCGTAGAGGTAATTTAAACTTTTCTTACAATGGGGCCGCAGTCGCTGCCCACTCCCACTTCCACTATCACTGCCCACGACACGTGATAGACGTAATGACGCAAGATCGTTGAAGAAAAACTGAGCTAATGGCTCGGGACCCTCCTAGCCAACATCCCAGCGGCCTTTTTTGCCAATGTGTATGCGGGAGGGTGAGTGAAAGAGAAAGGCTCCAGACTCCGAACTTCCGTCTCATCGGCGTGAGCAGAACATTTCACCTGCGGTCCAACGTGATTAATGCTCATTGGTTTCTTTCGAGTTCAGAAGTGGAGGGAGGCTTCTTGCCAAATGCGGTGCATTTTCGTAGGCTTTCTATTTGCTAGGCTTAACTGCCAACCTAATCATGTCTGCGTTTTTGTTTTTTTGGCGACGGAAACTGTTCTTTGCTAACGGTGTGGATCTGCACTCGAACCTGGCTGTGTCGCCCCTTCTTATTCAAGTCGGCAATAACCCTTCGAGGTATGACATCAAGTCACGGGCTTACCATCGCACTTGCTGACGAAAAGCATCACGCGTCGCGTCTTCGTACCACCGATATCTCCATGTTCTGATGACGACTGTCATCACCTCAAGGGACACAGAGAGTACGCAGGCTTGGTAGCATTGCACGTGTCTCTGCAAAGAAATACACATGTGCTCGCAAGATCATTATAAGAATGGGTCCCCAGAAATCATTTTTGAGACTAGTTTAAAGACTTTGACATACTCTGCCAATCATTTGATGCCCATGTGGTATCTTTGTTCCACCTAGAGCTTTCAGTTTGCCCGGTTATAATTCCACGATCTATTGGCCAAAACTTGGACCCAACGGGAGGCGATTGCCACCGAGATACTTTCATTACAACAGTGGTTTGATTCATAACATAACATTTACATTTTTCAGATGTTTGCGATCGTGTGAAGTTAAAAAATGATATTGTGAAATTAGAGTTGTCTGTTTGGTTCCAGGCAGGGTTCCAGGAAAAATTTAAGGAGAACCTTCAATACCCAAAATCTCTTAAGCCTTTCCCCATTCCTGACGCCACAAGCTAGCTGAAGCATTGTCGCCCGTTTATTTTTTCTGGTGCGCCGGCGGGCGACACCTGGCCGCCAGCGGGGCCGGGCCGGGCGCCGGCCGGCCCGCCCGGTCCAGCCGTCACCCCAGCACGCTTCCGTGTGCTGACGGCCAGCCGGCTCCTGTCAGGAAGCGATCCACGAGCCGGGCGACCGCGCCCGCCCGCCGCCGCTCTGCGGGCGGAAGACGGCACCGGGGGCAAAGTCCTAGACGCTGGGCCCGGCGGCCAGCGCCAAGGCCGAGCAGCCGCCGCGGCTGGGCCCGGAGGACCTCGACGGCTAAGTGGCGGCGCCAAGGTCCTGAGCGCGCCGGTCGGCGGGCGCGGGTTCGCGCGGCCGGCGCGGGTTCATGCGATCGCCACCTGGAGTGCAGGCGTCGGAATGCCCCTGGCACCGCCCGTGGCCATCGGACGAAGGACGCGCCACAATTAACCCGCTGATGTCGGAGAGGGACGTGGTCCCGATACGCCCACGGCCAGGCTCACGACTAATCTATGGCGGGGATCATGCAGGCGGCGGACTTTGATCCGCCACTCGTAACGGGCTGTGCAAGGTTAGAGCAGCCAGGGTTGTGGCGCCGCGCCCGCGATTTAAAGGCGCAGTTTTCTGCGAAGTGTGCCATGTTGGTGCCGTCGCCCATCTGTGGGCGTAAACTTCACCGGAACTTTTGCAACGCGGCGGCGGACGAGCCCTGTCCTGGGACTGGCGGCAGCCGTCGCCAGGAGCGCGGCGGAATCTCCGCGACGGAGGGATGAGTCGTTCCGGCGGAATCTGTGACGTCACGTCGGGAGGAAGTCCCCTCTGAATCACTGGCGGCCGTACTCCTGGGTCTGGAAGGCGCGGGGCTGCACGATATCCGTCATCTCACGTTGGCTTATGTCGCAATGCTACAAAAATGCGGCGCGGCATCACCTTGGAAGACGCGGTGGAGCCACGCACCACTGCGGGGAAGCTTGTAGCCCCCACCTGCTGGGGCAGCTCACGAGTCCCCACGCGAGAATGTCGCGCGCTAGCCCGCCGCCGAACCGCGAGCGCCCCGCGCGGGGAGAACCCGGTTGGTGCCGCGATCGCTCGCGGCGCCGGCCGCGTGCGTGACGTAACGCGGCGCTCCCTTCTGACGCAATACGCTCCCCGGTGGCAACGCGGCGGCCGCCGCGGAAGGGTGGCCGCCGCCGGCTGCGCCCCGCCCAGCGTGTGACGCGGGATGTCGTCATCCCGGCGCGCGACCGGCCGATAACCCGCGCCGCGCCGCGCGCCGCCGGGCGGCCTTCGCGGCCGTAGTAAGCCGCCGGCGCGCCGGCGCGCGCCACGTGGTCGGCCGCGTGTCGTTGACTCGGCCAGCTGCCGGCGCCGCCGGCTCGCGCCTTTTCCGCCCACCAATGGCGGCGCGCGCTCCGGCCTCGGGTCGAGTGCGAACGACCGAGCGGCCGCCGGCGCCGGCTAGAATGCGGGGCACGCTGCGCCGGAAGAGGGCCGCCGCCGCCGTCTGCGTGTCTGTCTGCGGGTCCGTCGACCCATGCATCGGGCGCGGGACCGCCGCCGCCGCCGCCTATTGATCGGCGGAGGGGCTCGGGCCCCTGGTCGGCTATTGATCGCCAGGTTACGCGCCGCACCGACGGCACGCGGGCCCGCTGCAGGGTTTCGTGCGACCGCCGGGCCGGCCAAGGTGACGGCCATTGCACGACACCGCCGTCGGCTGGGGGCGAGGGTGGGGCAGTTGCAGCTGCTCCGACAACTTCGGCGACGTGACACGGTGCAGGAAAGTGGGCACGACGTCGTGACGGCAGCCACCCTCTTGAGTAGGGATGCAACGTTTTTGGCTGTCACGTTTGAACGAGCTTGACCCGGTGGGCCATCTGTTTGGGTTTAAGTCCGACGCGCCAACCTGGCGTAGACCAGATACGTTATCAGTTCGTTAAGCTCGCGTTATTACAGATTTAGCTAATAGCGACTTAATCTCCAAGCCATAAGCATGAGGAAGAAATGCCAAGAATGGGCACGATGCTCCGCCGGCTGCATTTTGAAAAACCTGCACCTCCTCTCTGGACCCGCCAGATCGATTCATCGCCTCGCGAATATGTCCAAAAACGCAGGGTCAGCGGCGCGGCGCCGTCTGCCGGCCAAATGCGCGTGTGACCTTTGCGCAAGCGGCGGCCGTGCTGACGCAGCGACGGCGTCATCTTCGGCCGGAACCAGTTCTGACTGAGCCGGAAGTGCTCCGAAGGCTGACGCCAGAGACCGGACCGGCCCGGTACCGACAGCGTCCCTTCGTCGAAGTCCCCCCCCCCCTCCCCCTCCTCTCCGGGGAGGAGTTCGAGCTGCAAGCCTCCCGCGTCACGACCGCAGCTCGCGCCACGTGCACGCCTCCTGATGTTCGGCTTACTAGTCGGTATTGCACAAGCGGCAGTCTGGGCGCTGCATAATCAATCAATGGCAGTGGCGCCGTACGACCCGAATCAACAACAGCGATGAACGATATGGCGACGCGGTCTTGTCGCGTCCCTCGTCCGCCGAGGTCTCGTCCTACGGCACGTCTCTCACGTGCCGCGTCACATACACGCGCGTCCGCACCTCCCACGTGGCCAGCGGAGGCTGCGGCGTGCTGTTGTCGCGCGCTGCTGTCGGCGGCGGCTGGCGCTCAGTCGCCGCGATGCGGAGGTGGCTTTGCTCCCCCGCCCCACGCTCAGCAGTGCATGATCGAGGCCCGATTGCAGTCGGTCTGGGGTGCAGGTCCGCGACTGCTGCGGCCGCTGGCATCCGCGGTCGCGACTTTTTGGTGGCGGCTCAGCGGCGCGGTATTTCCTGATGTCCGATTTGGGCCCGCCGGATCAGGTGGCATTATGGGGCATTTCCTGGTGCGCTGTTAGGATTACCGGTGCGAACTGAAAAACATGTCTGAGGCACAGTCTTATCTCATTTTGCATCGGAGCATCGTCCTCGAGATGGTAACAACGATTCCACCCGTTTTAGTTGCATTATTTACGAGGCGCCATTTGCAACCATGAACTGTTGTTCCTGCCGCAATGTTTTGCTTCGGCTGCTCAATCCGTGCTGGAAACCACATCTCATGACTGTCGCCCATGCGTTCCCCCTCACCAAGTTCACTCGAAGCATTTCAACGCCCCTGTAACCCCGTCTTGCCCGCCGGCCGCCCAGTTCCTCCCCGCGTGCTCGCAGCCAAAGCTCGGTCCGCCGGCGCCCGCTCCAGGCCGGCCATCGTTCATTGACGTTCGGCGCAGGCTGCGGCGGCGGGCGACGTCGCGGCGGCCGCCGCCCGCTCGGGGTTGTTGCCCCCGTCTGGCCCGCTATGTCGACTGTCACGGGGTCAGGGAGCCGCGCCGGCCGGGCCGGGCCGGCTCCGCGAGCCGCCCTCCGCCGCCGACGCCGCCGTCTGACCGCGCACGCAGCCCTTGACCACTGCGTCGGCCTGGCGCCGACGCCGCTGGCTGCCGACTCCGGCTTTATGCTCACCGTGCATAATGTTGATTTGGTTAGTGCTTTGGGGCGCTTAGGCTGCCAGGACCATTGTGTGGCTCTACCGCAGACCGCCGAGTGGTGAGCGAACACGCATCGCGTGCCCTTCACCGATGCATGGAGCTGACGCGGCGATGACCCCGCCTCTGACCACAAACTCCGGCCACGATGGCGGCCCCTCCCCAAGCCCACCCCCGGCCCCGGCCCCGGCCCCCACCGTCTGACTGTGAACCCTGCCCGACCGCAAACCCTGACCTACAGTTGACTTGCCTGGCTCGAGGCGCCGACCCCGTCGTGCGGCCCCAAGCCGTGACGTTGTACCGTGAGACGACCGGCCGACCGCAGACCCTGAACCCGCCGTGCAAGCAGCTCTCGGCGCCGCCGGCGCCGCTGAGGTGCCCCGTTTTTGCCCGGCTGGCGCAGGCGCCCAGTCAACATTACGACGTGGCGCATGTGGAGGAAAATTTCGTAAGCGTGAGGTCGCCCGGAAAAAGCAGCACATCTGTCAAGTGACGCAACAAAAACAACTGTGCGGCGAGGACGTGCGTTGGATTTGCGCCAGCGCCCGGGCGTCAGTGTGTGCTAAATCCGCACCGACCGCGCATCCCTAGACCGGCCACCCTTGACCCTGGGCCGACGCGCTGGCCCGCCTCTGCCTGCTGGTGACCCGCTGACCCGGGCCGTCTGTTCCAGGTGCGGTCGCTCCGGCCCGTCGGAGCTCGGCGTCCACACCCGCCGTGACCGACGAAGCCGCGCGCAGTGCGCGGCCAGTGTCGCCACCCGCGCCGCAGCGCGAGCGGGCCGACTCGCCAGCGCGGCCGGCCGACCTGCCTGACCTTGACCCGAGTCTGCCGGCCGCCGCCGGCCACGAGGCGGCCACTACCCCAGGTGGGTGGAACGCGGTCGAGGGCAATGCTGTTGGTTTCGTGGCTCGCTTCTTTACGGGCACTTCAGTCAGGTTTGGCTGTTGGCTCCTGTTTAACAACCAGCTGTGAATGCAGTGGCGGTGTCGGACACGCCGGGAGCGCCCGCTCGTGCCGTCTGTGATCAAACAGCGGAAGACCGCGGCTTGCAGTGTTGATGCCCGCTCGGTCGCCGCCCCGGTCCGGTCGGCGGCCGGCCGGGCGCGGCAGACTCGCCCGGCGTCGCCGCGACCGGAGCCGATGGAGCGGCGCGCGCAGACCGCGGCCGGCGCGCCGCGGCGGACGGCAGCGCGTGTCGACGCTACTTTCACGGACCTTCGGCGGGGCCTCCGGTGGCCGTCGTGGCGACATCACGGCCCGTATCTGGCCAGTTGATAAGCGCGGACGGGGGGGGGGGGGGAGGGGCGGGAGGGGGACGCCCCTTCACTCGCGTGGGTGGAGGCGGCGATCCAGTCCTGCGCTCACTGGAACTCCCCCGGCTGCGCAGCAAAACCCGACGAGAACCGCGAGCAGATCTGCGGGGCGCTTGCGCGGGGCCGTGGCGGTTAATCCCTGGCAGTCCCGTACTCTGAAATCGCTCCCGGCTGTCCGCTGACCCCTGCAGTCGGGGCCAGCCGCCCCATTGTCGCAACGTCGGCCGACGGAGCCGGCGGCGGCCGGGCCGGCCGGTCCGGCCTCGCCCACCTGATGGCCTTAATGATGACCCTGGCACGTCGGAGCGCCGGCCAGCGGCGGGCGGGACCATGGCGCGGTCAGCGGCGGACCAGGGCTGGGCCGTGGCGCTCCCGCGCCTGCCGCCGCGCTGCACGCTACGCTGCGCTCATCCCGCCCCGTCATCACTCGCCCCCATCGGCCGCCGACTCCACCCCTCGCACGCTTCCCTCGCTCCACCCCTCGCTCACCTCCCCCACCCGAGCCGTCATCCGTTTCCCCTACCTCGCCCCGCCCAGTGGCGGGGTTGGGGGACCTCTGCGCTGATGGCGGGAAACGTGATTTTTTACCCCACTTCTTTTCATGCACCGCTATAAGTGTTGCTCTTAATTCGGGGACAGCTGCCTCCTTTGCCCCCCCCCCTCCCCCCTAGTCCGCTGCCCTCGTCCACCTCCCCAGCCCTCATCGAGCCCCAGTGCCGCAGTCTCGCGCAGCTGCCATCAATCTCTTCCGCGAGCCTTCCGTCGGCCCGGATGGCGCGTGGAACGCCGAACGCGGCGCGGCGGCGGGGCGGGCGGGGCGCGGCGCGGCGCGGCGCGGCGCGGCGCGGCGCCAGCCAGCCAGCCAGCCAGCTTCGCGCCACCGCGTGGCGCCGACTCATCACGTGCTGCAGCTGGGTGTCGACCTTGGGCGCCGTTGCGCAGCGGCGCCGCGTCGCGCGCCTACCTGCGCCGTCGGCGCCCGTCGCGCCGCCCCGACCAGCAGCCGGGGCCGTCCTGTCAGGGAATGCGGTCGGCCGGGCGGCGCGCCCCTCGCCCGCCGCCAGCACGTGTCGCGTCAGCGGCGGAGGCCCGGGGCTGGCTGACCCATTTGCGGCCCGGCGCCGGGCGACCGGCGGCGGCTGCCAGCCGCGCGCCTGACGCACAGTGCGTGCGGGCGGGGCGCGCGTTCGCCGCCGGCCAAGCGCGGCGCGGCGGCGCCGGTGGCGGCTGACGTCAGCGGTATATCGAGCCGGCGCGGCCTTCGCGCGTCCGGCCCTGGTGCGCGCCGCGCTCCCAGGTGTTGCCAGCCGCGTGGCCCGCGGGCCAAGCGCCAGACCGGAGCCGCCGCCGTGCACCAGCGTCACGCGTCACGCGTCACGCGGCGGGGACGGCTGCCCGAGCGGCTGCCGTCGCATCCGAGCGCTATCTGCAGTCGGTGTTTGTCGATGTCCAGGAGCGTACGTCGAGAAGTCGCGGGCTTCACTGGTATCTTATCGGTGCTGAGGCATCCGTTCTGTGGCCGTGTTTGGCGGGAAGGTGGCGGTGGCTGGCTGTGCTGCCCACACCGCGAGTCCGCCTGCCTGGGTGGAGAGCGCCCGAGCCGGCTGGCGCCCGTCCGCCTGCGGTTCCGCCGCTTCCCATGCCGTGTGACGATTGTCCGCCCGCGTCACGCCACTAGCCAGTCATAACGCCGCTTCGGGGAGCAGCAGCGGATCCGTGAAGTGACGAGCCCACCTATGTGACGTGTTCCATTACGTCACGCCGGCGCGCGCGTCGGCCGTTTGCGTCACCCCGCCTGACCGCGCGTTCTCCGTCCACAGATGGCGCCGCCGTCGCCGACCCGGAGCCGCGCTGCGCGCCGTCTCAGCCGGCGCCGCCACCAGAGACCGAGCCGGTCTCCACCGGCAGCCCCGCGCCCGAACAGCTGACCCCGTCCATGGCCCGCCGCCAGCGCCGCAAGCGCATGAAGCAGCGCGCGGTGGCGCCAGCCGCCGAGGCGCCGCCGCCCGAGGAGCAGCGGCTCGACCTGCCGCCCGAGGTGGTCTACCAGCTGATGCGCCGCTACACGCTGCCCGCCGAGCAACTGCACATGCTCGGCTTCCCACACTCGAGCAGCTTCCACCGCGGCAAGGCGTACATCTACAAGGGGCTGGCGGGCTCGCCGCGCCCGGCGCGCAAGGTGAAGCTGGACGCGGCGGCCAAGGAGTTCGTGCCCCGCGCGCTGGCGTCGTCCGACTGCGACAGCGGCACGCACAGCTCCGAGACGGGCGACGACTCGTCTGCCGCCTCGTCCGGCAGCGAGCCGGACGAGCAGCAGGTGCCCGACGACGTGAGCGAGCCGGAGAGCGTGCACTCGTCCGGCTCGGAGAGCGAGCGCGGCGAGCAGCGCGTCTCGTTGCTGCGGCCGCACTGCGTGCGCTGCACGCAGCAGTTCGCCGTCACGGTCGACGGCTATTACTCCGACCAGGCGGAGCGCTGCGTTTTCCACTGGGGCAAGCTGAAGAGCGCGCGCGCCGGGCCGCCCAGCTACGCGTGCTGCGGCGGCCGGCCGGGCGGGCGCGGCTGCTCGACGGCGCCTTGCCACGTGTGGAGTGGGCTGCTGCCGGGCCTGAACGGGCCGCTGAAGGGGTACGTGCGCTCACGCCGCCGCCGCGTGCCGCCGGCCGACAGCAACTACGGCGTGTACGCGCTCGACTGCGAGATGTGCTATACGGGCCAGGGCCTGGAGCTGGCGCGCGTCTCCGTGGTCGGGCTCAACGGCAAGCGCGTGTACGACGCGCTGGTGAAGCCCGACCGGCCGGTGGTGGACTACAACACGCGCTTCTCGGGCATCACGGCGCGCCAGCTGGACCGCGCCACCAAGACGCTGCGCGCGGTGCAGAGCGACCTGATGGGCTTCATCAGCGCCGACACGGTGCTGATCGGCCACGGGCTCGAGAACGACCTGCGCGCGCTGCGGCTGGCGCACGACACGGTGGTGGACACGTCTGTGCTGTTCCCGCACTACCTGGGACTGCCGTACCGCCGCCGGCTGTCTCACCTCACCTCCAGCTGCCTCAGCTGGAAGATTCAGGAGGGCGGCGCCGGCCGCGGACACGACAGCCTCGAAGACGCGCGCGCCTGCATGCAGCTAGTGCTGTGGCGCGCTCGCCGCGACCTGCAGCTGGAGTAGCGCCGGCTGCGGCGGCGGCGCGTGATCTCAGAGTACAAACGGCCGACGCCGGCCGGCCTGTACAGCATCGTCATCAGTGTCCATCCAGGGATTCGTGTTTCATCCGCGGAGGTGCGGCGTCGGTTTAGACTGCGATGCGAGCTTTTGGCGCGCGGCGCGTGTTTTACATGTGAGACGCTCCGGTGTTGCTGTGATGGCCACACCGCGAGGAGAGCGTGGCGCCGAGCTGTGCGCCGCGCTGGTCGTCTTTCCAGTGGGTTTTACGGAGCGAGCGGCCGTTTTCGGAGTCGATGCCGGGCCCGCCGCGGCGGCGGACCCGGCGTCACTCCGGTGCCATGCGCTTTGTGCGAGGGCTGTCGATGTCGCGCGTGACTGCGTGGAGTGTTTGTATTTAATCGGCGTCGCTGGGTGTATAGCTGGATTTTGAACAATACAGACTCGATCTTAACACAGATTTTGTGGACGCACGCTGCGGCGAGGAAGGCCGGAGGCTGGCCTCGGATGGCGACCGCGTCGACTGGAGCGTGTTGTCGGCGCCCCGCACAGATGTAGGATAACCCAGCGCTGCATGTAACGACAGGCCATGCGTTACACTTTTGGCATGCCTCCTGATGGGAGGGAATACATCTTCCCGATCTGCGTTGTCATACATTATCTGACGTGGAGTCGGCGCGAAAACGGCGTTCTCTGAACCCATAACACACCGCCTATCACGTCACAGTCTCTGGTAGGAAACTGCGTGCTGCGCAGTTGTTCAACTTCCGGAGCTCACTGCAAAGCCCTTACCGTCGCACTTGCGCGGAGGTATTTAGCAGGGGCCCGCTCGCACTCTGCGTAAGTCGCCCAGGGTCCTGCTCACGTACTAGCCTGCCAGCGTATCCAGGATTGTGTTCCAGGAAAATGTTCGCTCGCCATGACGTGCCGTACGCCCGAAAAAAGGCGCGCCGAGCCGGCGGACATTTCGAGTTGCATGACTGCAGAGCCCTGTACAGATCGGAGGATAGCAAATGTCATTTGGCCTTGACGGAGTCGGCTGGCTGTCCACACGAGGACGTCCCGGCGGCGGATGCGGCGTGTCACTGACTTCCTGCCGGTGACAACGATGGAGTTGTGGCGTCGTACGTACCGTAGGCGTCCGTATGCGGCCGCCTCGTGGTGCCAGCTGGCGAATGCACGGGATGAGTCACGAGCAGCTGTGTCGGGTCACATTACTCATTGCTGTCAACAATGGAGCCCACGTGCGACACCTACGCTCTGATGTTTGGGTGTATTGACGCCGCGTTGCGCAAGGGGCGGTGATTGAACCACCCGGGAGTAATATCACGGTGCGATCGGCTTTGCGAGTGAGCTGGGGATTACATGTAGGTAAGAGGAAGATGCCTCGTGTGCCCGTAGCGTGAAAATCGCCAGCGGTGCGGTTAGGAATGGTAGCAGATGATGTAATGGGACTTCAGCAGCCGCGGCGCCGCAGAGCAATGCTGATGCATGCAGATGGTTAATCTTCTTTCGCTGAGACAGTTGGTCGGTCGGGTTGACGCGTGTGAAAATCTTGTCATAAGCACGCTCCATATATGGTAACGTGACTGGGCTGAATCAGTGGGTGAGTCAATTGTTTGAAGCGAATACAGCTGAACGCAACGTCAGGAGGGGATGCGTTTTAAAGTTCAAATTCGTGCTGACGTTAGTGGTGGCAGGGTCCAGCAGGAAAGCGAGTTGCCAGCGGGAACGATATGACACCTGTGTGTTCAGACCTTTGTATTTATAGTAAATATTTGTCATATATGGTAAATATGGGAAGTGCGTTACGGTAAGCCGCCTCGCTGCGAAGAATGCACCCAGCTCGTAGTTCAGTTGACAATGTTATAGCAGGATGTGGAGCAGGCGTTCCCATGGAAAGAAGGTTCAACATTGGCCGCTCAGTCTAACGAATGCCAACTCATCAGATGAACGTCTCCAGAAGGTGATTGCCAGAGAAAATCGGTCGTTCGCAGGCTGGTGTAGCTGTCAAATTCCAAGTGATGATCCAGCAATAAACTCCGAAATACTCAAGTCAAGGACAACTCTCCACTGTTGTGTCGTGCGACGGTATCAGGTGACACAAAGCTACAGAACCGAGATAAAAACAAAATGCCGACGACCGAGAAAAGCTGACCTAAACACAGGGAAGGAAATGCCATCGCGATGGACGATGGGAGATAATTTTCCGGAAATACGAGCTTACGTGGGCTGCTACAATAGGATTAAGGAACGTGTTGACTTCGGTCCGTGTTCAAAGGAAGGGTAAATTTGCAACGAAAATCATGATATGGGTGGTCACATTGAATCAAAAAGAGAGATGGATGGATACATTATCAGAAGAGAAAAAAAGGAGCGCTGAATGGTGAACGATGCAAGAAAGAATGCCTACCACATCCGGAAAAGTTTTTAGACACGTCCAACAGCGGCGAAAGGCTAGTTTATGGCAGAACATGGCTACGGAACAATACAAAAAGTCCGCTTTGTGATAGCCATCGAGGCTCAGTGTACCGGTTATTCCACGTGAGGACAACCCACCCGAGATCGCACAGCTCCAGCTCACCGATAAATTTTGGACTGGCCTGAAGACCAATGTGTAAAAGGGTCGCTAGAAAACTCAAAATAAACGCCAGCTGCGGGCCAAAAACACCGTAATTTTACAGGATCTCCCGAGTGCGTGCTAGAGGCTGATGGATCACGTAAAGGCAGGCATTCGCAGCGTGGCCGATGAGGGCCACTTGGGGCTACTGCCGCTCTGATGTGTTCGGCATGGGATACGCTGGTTTCATTCACATGCTGTTTATATTTACGTGTGAGCTGGAAAGTGAAATATAAACCAAAAATAAATTGCTGCGTATTTGGCGAGAAGGGCAAGTTGGGGGGGGGGGGGGGGGGGGGGTGGGGGGCAGATTCGAGCGGTGTCCTGACAGCAGTCCCCAGTCGGACTGCACCTGTCTTATCTGACTTGCCTGTTCCCCAGTCAGCTGCAGTGACGACAATCAGCTCAATGCAACGCTGTTGTATGGGCCATTGGAGGGCGTCTCAGCTTGTATGAATTCGCTCCGTATATGTTAGCGTGAAATTGCGTCAACCTTTGTGCGCGACACTCACGCGGCACAAGAAAGAGTCACATCCCTGAACATATTCCCTGTCTCTTTTCGCTTGCACAGGCCACAAGGCACCGAACCATCGCACTCGATGCGCTTCCTGCACTTCACAAACTGGCCTACTCGATTACAGCAATTTGGTCGGCCTTGGCGTCTATAACTGCCGGAAGCCTCAGCCGTGACATCTCGTTATCTGTAATCATATCAAGGCACGGGTGCGCGCCGGTCGCGTGTTTCCACCAGCACGAGCCGGCCTTCCTCCTCAGTTCGTCTCCAGGCTCGCGCGCGGCGTCAGCGCCCTGACAGCCGGTCGTCCCGTCCTCTGCCGTGGAGCGTGCGGTGTTCACCCGGCGGACGTGCTGCGTGCAGATCTGCTGCCGTGACGTGTGCAGATCCGAGCCGCAGGCCAGGCGCCGCCGACCGCTAGGCTTATATCCACGAGCCGAACACGCATACATTCCGTGCGGCCACGTCGATATCAGATCCATGCGAAGGTTTACCGCGAGTTAGAAATTCAATTGGCGGTTCAGCACAGCATCGAAGTCGATGGTATCAGAAGGCATACTCGTCCTGCGCCATTGCGCTGCGCAGCTTGCACTTCCCTCCTGAAGTCGATGGTATCAAGGGGCATGTCCCACGGCACCAACATGCTGCACCGCGCGGAATTCCCTCAGGTGTTTTGTCTGCCGCGGACAGCACTGTTTTCCTTTCATCCTCTCCACCACAAAACAACCAGCCAAATAAAATAAAAATATTAGAAGACTATTAACTGCCGTTCAAAACTTAGTGGGAATGTTCCACATTTGAAGATATTGAAGCGGGCATAACATATGACTGGATAAGCTTACTTATAGATGTGGGTATACTTTCAAGTAGAAAAAACTCATCTAGACAACAAAATTATCTGCTTAATAGATATGCCCCTCAATACGTCAATGTTTGAATACGCAATGGAAACTTGCACAACATTAATTGCGAAACTATTAACGGCCATTTTATCTGGAAATCGTGCTCACGAACGTCAGATATGAATGACTCAACAATTATATTTTGTTTGACCTTGATCGCCGCATGGGTAATGAAATGGCATAATTTGTATGACGTTATTATGGCATCATAGATGCCTTGGTGACCTTAGAATAGCCTACACTCATTTGCAGGCGTGTAGGCCAGAAACTAGAGGGATTTGGTCTTACGAAGGGCAGGACTGTGAACTGCACCGAATGCTCTTCAATGTGGCTATTTTAGTTAAATACTCCACGCCAATGTGCTACACTCCCTTTAAGGTACCGAGCGATGAACCGGGCTGAGAGCGCGGTGGCACTGCCGTGATCCGACACAAGAAGCCCGAGAGCATGTCGAGTGGCTGCTGCAGTTGTCGCGCCTCGCAGACGCCGCCGTGCGAAGTCTTCCACAGACCAGCACGGCGTGCCCGACGACCACGGACTGCACCGCAACAACGACACGTGAAACGCGACCCCGTGGCCTGGGCCGAGGGCACCGGGCTCGTGGTTACAACGGGGCAAGCGGACGGCTGGCTGCGGGAGCGAAATGGCATGAGTAAACTCGTGAGCACGCCGGCCCGAGACAGCGCCTTGTAAGGCCCTGTAGAATTTGGAGCAGCCTAATCGCCGTTTTATGCACGCCATTTGAGTTGGGGCTACGTGCACAATGGCTGCGAGTGGATGAAAGGCTCTTGGTGAGTGACTCTTGTCTGTCACTGCATTGGACCAAGCTGCAGTGTTCTAGCACTGTCCGCTGCACGACTGCAGTCGCTCCCGACTGTATGGCGGCCTGTCCAGTTGTCTGTGGCTGGATACGTACAGGCTCCGCTGGGGCGTCTGACCGCGCTCTTGCGGGGTGCATGCGATCAAATAGCACCAACGGCTAATTTGGGCAGGACTGCTTGAGCTTTGCAAGGCATGCCAGAAGACCAGACACCGCGTGGTGGTTGAAGGCATCTAGAATACAGGACTGGATACCAGATAATATTGTACCCTGCATGCACTCTGATCCATAATGATTGACAATGGGTTTAAGCCGCTAATGCACCGCGATCCGTCCCAAAATGTCGTTTAGGAGAATGTTCCACATCTAGGGATATTGAAGCAAGCATCAGATATGATGAAATAAGCTCACTTATAAGCATCGGTGTACTTTTAAGTGAGAACGATTTTTCTCTTTTAGGTTAACATTCTCCGTAACAGGCCATTGTTTGATTGCATCGTCGCACCTTGCACAACATTGATTGAGAGGCCATTGGCGGTCGTTATGTCTGGAAATCGTGCGTACGAACGCCAGACATGAATGACCCTACAGTCATATT